GCTGAATGCGATTATGAGATATGAGGGCATGAATTTAGCTAATACACAGATTTGATTGAAAAAGAACACGACTAATCCTATTGGATGTTCTGTGTTCATGACTCCTGGCCCCACAGATCAGCCTCAGGCCTGCTCAGTCATTCCTCCTCAACAAGAACCAGGTACCCAAGCTCCAGCCCCAGATCCCCACCATGATGCCTCCCAGCGCCCAGCCTCCTCGAACTCAAACCCCACCTCTGGGACAGGTAAAAGACAATCCCTTCTCACAGTTTCCCACTAGGGTAGTTTAACTAACATAAACACAGATACAAAAATGTGTTAAAGGAAAAGTATTGAACGAAAATCATTTTATGTGAAAGGGGGAAAAAAAACCTGGCCAAACCCAAATCATCATAAAATGTTATGGTTTCATGGTGCAACTAATCTCTGTATTATATTCGCTTGACCTTTTGCCTCAGCCTCCACAGCTTGGCCTGAAGACCAACCCTCCGCCCATCCAAGAGAAACCTCAGAAGACGAGCAAGAAACCACCTCCTGCCAGGGAGGAGCTGCTTAAAATGACTGTAGGCACAAAAGAGAAATTATACCTTCCACTGTTTTCAGTCTAGAGTAGCTGTAATATATAAATAATAAACAATGATTGAGTACGGCAAAGTGAAATAAGGAGGAATCAGCAATGCAATAAAACCTGTTGCCACATCGTACACTTCCTGCTGATAGCAGCAGTCAGTTAGACTAGAGAATGATCAACAAATCTTCCCAAATACATCTTGAAGATTGTGCTGTGTACTAAGACGTTAAGTCAGAGACTAGAGAATTATTGACTGCTTATTTGTAAAAAGGAGCACCTCTGATTGTGACACATGATTGTGGTGCTACCTAAAACAATTAGAACCAGAAACATGACCTCCATATCTGAGTAGTCACAGCGGTTGAGAGCACAAATCAATTTGCAGGTTTCCTACTCCGTGTGTAAACCGGCCACGGCTCATTTCTACACGCTTACATGTTCATTTCAGGAGGCGATCATGACTGAGTACTTCAACAGTAAGAACCTGACTGAGGCTGTAAGCGGTGTGCGCGAGATGAGGGCTCCCAAGCACTTCCTGCCAGAGATGCTGAGTAAGATCATCGTGTGTTCCCTGGACCGTCCTGATGAGGATAAGGAGCACGCGAGCACTCTGATCCACACACTTCGCACCGAGGGCCTCATCACTGGAGAGAACTTCATGCAGGTACGCACATCCAACATTTTATAGCACACTCAGATTAGAGTGAAACGAGTAAACCGTTATTGTTTGGAAGTAAAATTTATAAATGACAAAGACATAGTGGTCCTTGGTTACAGTAGCCGCTAATGGTCTCCTCTAGCAATAATTACATCTATTAAATATCAGGGGTTTGCTTAAAAGGGGAGGAAAACAACCATCTCACTAATTAATTGTGACATTTTTTAAATTACAATGAAATGCCCCTAGAGGCTGCTGTAATCAGTCTTAACATACATGTCACTGATGAGGCCAGAAGGGGGGCTGCATCATTATTCACGCTCTGCTATTTCCTCCCACTTGTGCCATTCAGGCTTTCCTCAACGTCCTGGACCAGTGCCCTAAGATCGAGCTGGACGTGCCCTTGGTGAAGTCCTACCTGGCCCAGTTTGCAGCTCGGGCCATCATTGCAGAGCTGTTGAGCGTGGCGGAGCTGGCTCACCCCCTGGAGAACGGCACCCACTTCCCCCTCTTCCTGCTTTGCCTGCAGCAGACGGCCAAGCTGAAGGACCGAGAGTGGCTCACAGACCTCTTCCAGCAGAGCAAGGTCAACATGCAGAAGATGCTCCCAGGTACTCCCAATACTTTCTGCCTCTACCCGTTGTTCACTTAGCCATTGATGAAGTCGCTACAGGCATAACTATTCCAACACCACATCCAGCAGATAAAATACCTACTCCTCTGCCCAAACACATTACACTGAGGCTGTTGTGACCCCCTCTGAATAACTGACCTGTTCTCCACGGCAGAAATCGATCAGAACAAGGACCGCATGCTGGAGATCCTGGAGGGGAAGGGCCTGAGCTTCCTGTTCCCGCTGCTGAAGCTGGAGAAGGAGCTGCTGAAGCAGATAAAGGCAGACCCCTCTCCACAGTCCATCTACAAGTGGATTAAAGACAACATCTCTCCCAAGCTTCACACTGACAAAGGCTTTGTCAACATCCTCATGACCAGGTAAATATACACCAGATATCTTTCAAGTTCATTTTGATGAGCATAATACAAAAGAAAAAAAGTTGTATTTTCTCATTTTTAAAGATATTCAGTTTACAATTACACTCTTAAAGAGTGGGAACCCTGAAATTTAGGTATACAGGTAAATAAAAACAGCCATGGCTGTTTTTATTTACTGGAAAGGTGTATAAATTCAAAGAAATGGGCCTTTCATGTAATTGACCATTGTCTTCTGATGTCTCCCCAGTTTCCTCCAGTACATCTCCCTGGAGCTGTGCATGGCGGAGAGCGACGAGCAGCTTGCGGCTCCCTCCAAAGAGCAGCTGGAGCAGGAGAAACAGCTGCTGCTGGCCTTCAAGCCCGTCATGCAGAAGTTCCTGCACGACCATACTGAGCTGCAGGTCAGCGCTTTGTACGCCCTGCAGGTGCATTGCAACGCCAGCGCGTTCCCTAAAGGTACAATAACCCCCCCCCAAATGATGGACAGTCTGCAAAATATAGATGTTAGACATAGTTTGTCCACCAGAGGGTGCTGACAGCGCCACCATAGATCATAACAAATAATTTGGTCAGAATTATTTGTTAGCTTTTGTTGCTAGTAGAACAAATGGCTTGTTTTTAGTGCAAACATTATTTAACGTTTTTTTTTTTTTTTTTCACTCAAAGGCATGCTGCTGCGCTATTTTGTCAACTTCTACGACATGGAGATAATTGAAGAAGAAGCCTTCCTTGCATGGAAAGAAGACATTACCCAAGAATTCCCTGGAAAAGGAAAGGCCTTATTCCAGGTACAGTAATGACATCACACAGATTCAAAGATCATAACAATAACTAGCACAGGACAGTCTTTCATCCTTCCATCTCATCCATTCTGCCTGTCAGCGTATTGGAGCGCTCCTGGCTAATGGTGATCCTTCGACTGAGTGTCATTGACACCTCCTAGAGAGGCGTCACATCTAAAAATGTCAGGAGAAAACATATAAGCAGCATATTTTGTATAGGTGTACCATCTTTATAAATGAATCAAGCACATTAAGAAGAGAATTCATTATTAATCAGTTCACTGAATTCATATCTACCATCAATATAGTGATAACTTCCATTTAGCTAACAAATACACTAAATACTTTTTTTTTTTTTGTGAGTCTGGACCGACCTGGCTGTAAACTGCAACTTGACCGGCCGGTGAAGGCATACAGCTGTGGGGCAGTCATTTTAGTGATGTACAAATTGATTTTTTCAGTTTTTCACTTTTTGTTTTCCCGCCTTCAGGTCAACCAGTGGCTCACCTGGCTGGAGACGGCGGAGGAGGAGGAGTCAGAAGATGAAGCCGATTGAGGAAACCAAGCAGAAGCATCCCGACGTAAAAGATCGACCTCATCTTTATTATTACAGTCGCCTTTCCTTTATTATTAAACTCCATGCTTAATTTAACCACTACCACGTGGCAATCAGCTGCTTCTGTCTTGCAAATATAAACCGAAAGCTTGTTACCAGTAGGGCCTCATGTGTTACCACCCGTACCATGACGATAGGATGAGAAGCATCATTTGACCTGTTGCCTAATGGAAGTTTGATTTTGGATCTGTGTCCTGATCAGCTACATGAATTCTGAAGTCTGGAGTGGCTCAACCATGTGTTTTTTTTTTTTCTTTTTGCTCTGACTGTGTTGAGTTTGTAACGTTTTACTTTTTTTTTCCCCCACTGTATTACATGTTTTCCATTTCCACTCAATTCTTACTGATTTGAACATTTCCCACTAGGAAACTGCTTTATTTAAGAAAGTGTAGGATTCCCCCCCCCAAATAAGTGAAACAAGTGCTCCTCTTCACTAATGCTAGTTAAAGACACAAGACCATTAACAAAAAGGTTTTTGTCAGTGACATGCTTTGTGATCTTCTGTAAGGGCCCGGCCTGGATTTCTTTCCATCATGCTCATGTGATCCTTAAAAAATCAAAGACTAAGTGATATTCAGCCTTTGATTTAGAAAGTATAATGAATGGCAAGGGGGCCCACTGAAGTGAGAGTGAAGCATAAGCTGGCAAGACTAAATGAATTAAGGTGCGTGTTAAGTCGACCTACAAACCAATCCCTTTTTTTTGTGAACTGTCCCCTTTTTGTTGTCTTTTATTACATGAGTGGTTGCAATACTCATTATCCTCCAAATGTTACAATATTTTAAAAGTTGTAATCATTGGTGTGCCGCCGTAAACGTTTCAAAGTTGCCTGTGTTTCTACCTCTTAGTTAGATGGGCTTTTGTTTGTTTGTTTTTGTGCTGGGATAATGAAATCTACTAAGAAGAACCTAGATCCCAAGCACATGCTGAAGTATTTGATTTAGTCCTGGCCTAATTGCACGATAAATTCACTGAAGCAGTCTTTTCCTACAAAGCTTCACACGGTTTACAAATATTGTTTGAGAACAAAAAAGCTTATTTTTATTAATTCGACAGCTCAGCATCCTCTTTGAAAAATGTACTTGCTGAAAGATGTAGGGGGTTTCCTCTCGCCCAGTGACGGTGCAAATGTGGCCTGTTAGGAAAAAGAAACGAGTACATTTTGTTTTTCTTAAATTGGCAAAAGAAAAGCCTTTACATAAGTTATCCCCCCCCCCACTAAAATAAGTCTAACAGCTAAATAAATAATAAGCAACGCTAAGAAACAACTTTTAGCCAAGAATTGTAAGGCAATGGATTTGGATCAAATTGTAAGGTATTCAAAATTATTGTGCACCTCTATTGCTTTAATGTCAATAAAGTCCAGTACATGAGCACCAAAACTGTTTGTCACTTTTATTTACATTACTTTCCCGCACATATTCAAACTCTGCATCAAAATGATCACACCCTGTTACACACATTCACATCTGGAACGAGCACAATCTGATCATTGATCAAACTGCCAGTCTGAGCGGCTCCATGGAAGCGCCTGGACTTTAAATGCCTTGCTGAAGAGCTTGTGGAAAGTAGTGGAGATGGGGACAAGTGTATTAATTTACCAGTACCATATATCTCTTTAATCATTATTCAAATTAGTTCCTAACTATATCCTTGAATGTCATCACACAAAATCCTGAAAGTAATTTAAAAGTACTTGAAATTGACATTCAAATGAGTTTGCGAATGCAGTTACAGTCGCTCATTTTAGTCAGCCACAGAAACAAATGTGTAACATACAAAGCAACCTGTGTTTTGGAAGTGTTACCACTGGTAAAAATGGTAAAGAGCAAGTTGAATAAGAAGCAGATGGCTAGTTTTTGAGATGTTCTTCAGCTGAGTTTGAAGAATGAGGAAGACGTCCCACTGTGTGAGTGGAGGCAGGAGAAGTTGATTCGGGCTCTGTAGTGATAGACATGTTGGACAAGGTGGACCTGGGCCTGGAGGTTTGCGTGTGTGCCGTGTCATCTCAGCATTTTCCTCAGTCACAATCTGCTCTGTGAAAAATCTCTTCCTGCTATCATGATCAAACAAGGCAGGTTTCACCCTTCGTCGCTATGACAAATTGTTAATTGTTGACTATTCCTGGTCAGTTGGGATCCAGAAGTAGTCCACCACCTTCCTGCTTCTGCGTTGAGGGGCAGAGTCGGGTCGCTCTCCTCCGAAGGCGGGTAGCTCATCGAAGTGACTCGGACCCAGATCCCTCCCCATGTGTGGGGCAGAGACCCTTAACATGGTCCTGAGAAAGGAGAAATTAAAAAATGAGTGAGTTGGAGTTTGGAGATACCACCTGAGCACATGGTTAGTGAAGTTTTCAGCTTCTTGCACAGCATTACCTGGATGAACTTCTTTCAGGCTCTTCGGGACTGGACTCTGAGGTGGAGATGTACACAGGGTCTCCCTCCTGAACAAAATCTTTCTTTATCAACAACCTAAACCTCAAATTGTTAGATATCTTCATAAACACAGCTGTAGAGGCATCTCACCGTAAAATTTCTTGGGTTGCCATCTTGATTTTTGAGGATTTTCACCCTTTGATCGCTTTCTGTCATACAGAGGAAATAACTCTTGATGTTGGCCTGACACTATTGGAAAACAAACATAAGATGTTGCTTAGAAATGTATTAACCACAGACTTGGAAATAAGCTTTAAAAATGTAAAGAAGGAAAGGAAGAAATGTCCATTGGTACAGACTGTTTTAATGAAAGCATGTCATTCATGAGTAGCAGTGTTTGCAAGTGTGTAATGACAGTGAAGCCCTTCAGGCATATTTCACTAGACTTTGGTGTGAATCAGACTAAAATCCAAATCAATCCGAGTTAACCAGTTGGATGACTTCTTTTTTGTCTCTTTCAAAGAACATGAGTGTGTGATGTTCGGTAGTAGGGAGATGTGATGAACAGTAATGGATGTCTGGGTCATTTTTCTCACTGCTTTGTTCTGCCTTAGAGCTTTCAGGTCCTCCTGAGCTCTCAACCTGTCGGCGAGCTCCTGGTGCTTCTCCCTCCAGCTGAGACACTCAGCCGTTCTCTCCTGCCTCTCCTTCTCCGCCAGACGCCTCTCGGCCTCAGCCTCCCGCCGAGCCTGGTTGGCCTTCTTGCTCTCCTCCTCCGACGCCATCGCTCTGCGCCTCGAATTCACCTCACTGTTAACACAATGCTGAAGTTACATTCCAAAAAATCTTATTTTCTCAGCCGGACTGCAGAGAAGTTGTTTTGATTCCATTTCTCACTCTTTTTTGCTATTACATTGGCCTCAACTGTATTCATTTCCTTTCCATTTTTATTCTCCTTTTTCCAGTCACCTGACTTCTGTTTCTTAAAGAACTTCAGTGCAACTTCAGTCTTGTGTTTTTAAAGCGATATGTACGTCTTTACTGCACTTGCTTGCCTGAAATGGAAATGATAAATTATTCATTTAGCTTTCATGTAGATACAAAAACAAGAAACATATCAGGCAGTAAATCAAAGCAACAAAACTATTTAAGATGGAAATTTAAAACTCTTTGATGTACATAAGATAAATATATATAAGCACATCTGGATTCCCGATTTTTCCTTTGAAGAATCACACAAGTTCACTGACACAGCACAGAGACCACCTATACTCATGTCCGAATGAAGGCGAGGAAGTGTGATTTAATGAGGCTTTACCTTGTGTAACCTTGCCCTCATCATTCGAAGATGAATGGTTTTTGGTTTTCAGTTATGTTTACCGTGTGGCTACAAACTAGGCACCGAAAATTGACAAAATTGAACATACACAAAAAATGCAAAAAAATACATTTTTAACAGCATCATCTGCTTTGATTCTTCAGGTTTTTGGTGAGCAGCACTGTTTAGAATAGACGTGCAGCAATTCATCAGCTCTGATGTTCTTCTAGTGTTACAATTTATGCTCCTGGATTTACACTCAGCAGGAGAAAATATGTCCGTTCTGCTTGTTGAAAAATTAGACATTAAATACTTATACAGTTGATGTATGACGCAGCACTGGGTGGGCCAAAATTGTAGCACAAGATGTATTATAACCAAACTGAAAGAATTTAAAACAATAAATCACTTAGAGTTAGATGAGGCTGGACCCTCCCTATCCTCTGACTAAAATCTCATTAATGCAATTTCTTTTTATGGTGATACAGTTATATAGTTTGATGTAATTTGATATATTGCTTCCTATGGGATGAGTACATTCCCACTATGGTCTTTGTTAATTAGGGGCTGCAATCAGGTTTGACATTCAACCTTGCTGCGTATTTCCTTAAATTTTTATACAAGAAGTGGTGGGAGACAAAACCTCCCTCATCTGGTGCCCTTGACATTGTTCCAATTTGTAACCCTGCAAGAAAGGTACTGCATAAATTAAGTTTATTAATGTTTATTAGAAAGACGGACTACTCCACTTTTATTTGTAGACTCTGAGTAGCTTTAAGTGCTACATACATTGCTGTAGTGAAGAGTTGGAAATCTCTCATAACCAGCTGAGATTTGGTGTACACCAGGGCTCTGTCCTTGGTCCTGTGTAGTTTCCCTTATACACCACATGCGTACTCTCTGAAGTGTCACTTCAAGGGTATTTGTTATCATTGTAGAAAACAGTTGTATGTTGTTAGCCATAACAACTGTGTCAGCATTTCCTAATATATTCCTGCCCCCTCTTGACCAAAAATTTATCAATTCAGCTTTAACTTGAACTATGAAACCTGAAAAGTGTGAAAGACCTTTTATGAGCAACAATTTTAATTACAGTTTATTTTGAATTAAGATACATTTTAAGTCTTTTCTTTTTCAGTCTTGTTTGTCTTTTCTTACTCTGCAAACAATTAATTTATGTTTTAGTCTTTTTCTCACTTTCTCACGCCTTTTAACCATCTTCAGTTTCTCTGCTACCTGATTTACTTATAAATTTACTAATGAGTACACCATACCAAGACAGAGTTACAGAATGAGAGAACTAAAGTGCATCTGTAACATCTCAGTTAGTGGGGATGGGATGTTGCAGGCCTAAGTAATGGTATTTTTATGTGAGATTCCTGCCTAGTGCAGCTTTAATGTCCAAAAACTTACTTTTGGTACACAAACCCATGATATATACCCACCTCTCTTTCAGTTGCACATTTTCCTCTGTGATCTGCCTCAGCTTGTGTCGGAGGTCATTCCTGTCTCCCTCCAGGCTCCTGTTCTCCTGCAGCAGGGCCTGTTTCTCCCCAGACACTCGATCCAGCTTCAGCTTGGTTTCAAAGTAACTCTTCTCTGTTTGTGCTAGGGAAAGCTGCAGATCAGTGTGCTACAGAAAGAAAAGGAGGATGCAAAATGAATGTCATGGGTCATAATTGAATCGATTCAGTCCACTGATAATGTTATATCCTGTTTATGCCCTGGCTGATTCGGGGATATTGATGCTGGTAATAAAGAGAGGGGACTCTATTGGAACACTGTGCTAAAAATATTTGTCATCCATTTTGGTTAAAGAGATGTCATCCGCAGTTCATTGCTCTGCTCATCAACACATAATTAAGGAAATGATGAAGATTTACCATCATTTCATTAATTATTTTTTCCCTATTTCCTCTCACCCCATGATCTGGAGAAAATGTTTTCTGTTCCTTAACTGGCTTCAAGATTACCAAAGAAATCTTACTGTTTGTTCTTAAGATTTTCAATAGTATGGCCATGTGTTACATTTTAAACCTTTCATCTAGGTCTCATCCAGGTCTTTGAGGTCCTAAATCTGTTAGTGGTTACACTTCTGAAATACAAAGGGGTTCCCTGGTTGTGATAATGAACAGTCTACCATTTGGAGAGTGGAGTGCCCTCACAATTTAAACCTTTCAGTCCCGCCTTTATGGCCATTTGTATTTTTTTAGCTTTAGCATATTTACCCGTTATGTCCCTGTGTATGCACCATACCTTTGTTGCATGTTTTTACACTTGTACCTGCTTTAAAAATCGTACAGTTCTGTCTGTGGCACTCAAACCGATTTGTTCCTACTGAGGAGGGTTTTTTTAAAAACAAATCACAAAGATATATAAATATAGTTTTATTTTTAAAATAGGCAAAGTAATTTCCTGAAAGAGCTGGGCACTTTAGTTTGTGGAAAACAGTACTCAAACAGCAGGAAATAGTGTTTTTGAAATTTGTTTTGGAAGTATTTTCAGCAGTGGATTGATTCAAAATTGGTGCTCCACTGAGCATCTCCAGCAAGATAGTGTATGTGGGACTGACTCAAAAAGCTTTGCCCAGTGTCATCATAATGAAGGAACATGTCGCTTAGTGCAACAGTGTGGCTCACTGATGTGTAGCTTTTGGACAACAATGGAACTCGCACAGAGGAATAGAATATATCAGGCGTTGGATAGACAATACTTGTTAGTAGGATTAGTTAATTGTTGGTTTTGTTTCTTTTTCATAAGATTTGTTGAGAATAAGAAAAAAAAAACAGAATTATTATTACCAGCCTTATCCTTTAAATGCACTTTACAAAGTGACTTGATTTACTGATATTTACTGTGTGACTGTTTGTTTAAGGTGTAATTGATCAAAATTCCATTCAACCAGAATTAATTCTTATGCAAACTTTTTATCACTAAGGACTTTTACGTCAGTGAACTGCTGAAGGTGTAACCCACCCTGATGGACTGGAATGATGGAGCACCCAAGGAGTACATTACATGTTGTACTATAGTTACTAATTGCTGCCTCTAATTATCTCCGTTCTGTCACTCAAAGGCATTAAGATCAGCTGACAATATCTGTGTCAGACTGTGTGTGTGTGTGTGTGTGTACCTCTTTTTTGAGCTGCTGCAGTTCTTCACTCAGGTGGCTCCTGTCAGCCTCTGCTACCTCCCTGTCCCGCTGACATCCGAGGGCCCGAGCCTCAGCTAGGGCCCTGCTCTTCTCTGCATCCCCTCTGGACTCCTCTGCCTCATCTGCAGCTCGTGAGCACAACGTTGCCCTCTGCTGGCTCTGATACAGCTTCTGCTTCAGCTGATGGGGATCAGAGTGAGAGGTGGGTGTATGCTGTGGTGACTTGGTCAGGAAACAGTAGAGCCCTGCCTTTCTTTCTAGATGTAATATGACCCCCACCACTCAAAGTCAGAATAGGGGTCAGCAGCAAGCTGCTATGTGGCATGAATGAATGTAGGTTAATGGTAGTACATGAAACTCCTTTATAAATTCATGTAAGATCACTACCATCATGAGACAAATATAATCCTAAAATGTATACCCATTATATATATTTTCCTGCTTATTTTATTGCTGCACCTTTTTTTTAATGCTGTTTGGCTTCTCCTGTTTAAAGTTTCTATACTGATATTGCCTTTGCTGTTTATATCATTGTCTTTTTGTTACCATATAAAGTGCCTTTGAGTACCTTTTAAATCATATAAAAAAAGCTATTTTTATTGATATCATTATTATTATTATTGATATAACTCAAATGCTGTCTCCTTCTAGTATTAAAGAGGCACATCCATTTTTCACAAAGTCAGTTTACTAGTCATGTTCTGCTCAACCTCTGAAAACAGTTGTATACATGTCCTCTGGGGCTGTGGAGGAGCTTTGCAAGTCCATGAAAAATCATCCCTGTTGATGTCATGGTGATGTCATCAGGGTTATCTCAGCTTGGGCTGCAAATTTATAACAGACGCTTGTGTTATAAACTGTTAGTGTGGAGACACTGGAATTTACAAGGAATGGCAAAGATGCTATTCGTTGCATCTCATCCTCTCTACACAGAGCTGAGGCAGCTCAGGAGCACTTTCAGCCACAGACTGATCCAGCCCCGAGCCTCAAAGCGCTTTGGAGGCTCATTTGTACGATCAGCCATCTGACTCCACAACGCCACAGCACCCAGTACCTCCAACCTGCACTGATTAAGACTGTTTTAACTTTAACCTTCTTTGCACAACTCTTGCACAAACTCCAACTTTCAACAATTTGCACATGTACGGTTTAGTTAACACTGTTTAAATATGTTTGCACTCCATATCGCTTGCTTGCATACTGCACATAGTGTATATATGTTTATATCTGAAATATATATATATTTATTTTTATTTTCTATTATATCTTTTATAATATTTTTACCTAGTATTCTTTATTGTAATTTTTATAATGATATCGATTAAAGGCAAACAACCCGCAAAATTAATTATTAGACATATCTTCATGAAACAAACAATTAATGACTAGCCATATAACTACCAGTTTTTGAAAGCAGCAACAGCATCATCAAAATATTCTCATACTGGTATATTGATATGGAGGTATTTTAGTTTTGCTAGCACTCAGCCTCATATCAGTAACATCCCACTGTTGTTTAACCTTTTTTCATGTAATTACAGCAAACAAATAAGAACACAATTAAGATTTCTACCCCACGTTATGTGCGTTTCCATCCACCTGTTCTCGTTCACATTTTCAATGTGTGCATATAACAAAGTGGAAATGGTGACAATTTGATAAAAACCTCAGAATATTGCAACAATTTTTTCATGCTTGGCTGAGATTTAAATGTCAGTGAGTTGTTCAAAGCAAAATATGATACAGTACAGTTGAAATCACTTAAACGTCCACTGAAGCTTCTAAAACTCTTGTTCATGATATCACATTTTTCATGTATAATTTGCTGTCACTGTACTATTTACAGTTTCATAATTGCTTCCAGTTAAAACTACAGTCTTCAACCTTTAATGGACGTGTGTATGGCTCTCTGCATAGCTGTGCATCTACATGCATTGTGAGGGCAGATTTTCGGTCAAATCTGTACTGTTTTCACACAAACAGCTGCCAAGTGGTCTTCTCATTTGTTTATAGTAATGTTACCTCCATTTTTATGTACTGTATTGATAATTCCAAAAATGCAGAAAAAATGAAACCTCCAAAACTCATGTTTGAATTTACAAAATAGAGTTTAATTAATACTGAAAGAACATCTTTGACTGCCTAGCTCACAGATCATTTCTTATGTTGGTTGGTGGGTGGATGTTTTATGAAAACCTACATCTTCTTTTATTAGACCTCAGGGGATGCAGACCTTTTTTATCTCTTTACTGATGCACTGTTGTAAACTATGTCCAGTGTACCTCTTTGACTTGTGCCTGTAGCTCCTGGTTCAAGTTCCGGAGGTTCCTCATGGTCAGCTCATTCTCTGTGCGCATCATGATCCGCTCCATGTGGATCTCATTTGATAGGTACTTGTTTTCCTTTCTCAGATCCTCACATTCCTGAGGAAGGTTTACATTATCATTGACATGTGTGAAAAACACAAGAGACTCATTCCAAAGGACACAAACTCATACAGTGATGGATTACACAAAATTAACCAAAAACCTCCAAGGATGACCTTTTGTTGATGACTTTTATGACATAAAGGACAACCTCTTTTAAAGTGAATACAGTGCTTTGAAACAGAACAGTTTTGTGACATCAAAAAGTTCAGACTTCAGGACACCAGTGCCAGTAAGAAATCCATCATTCCAACCATCAATAAAACTTGTCTTCACATTTATTGCAAATAATACATTTTTAATGTCTCACCATCACTTTTACCATTTTAGGTTATGTTATATTTTGATGAACATTTAAATTCGTAACCTAACTAAGCTAAGGCTCTTGACCATAGAAACAGCAGTTTAAATAATTTTGGTAGTTTAGAAAAATAGTCTCGCCACAACATCCTAGGATACAGAGAACGACTGCCTACAATAAAGCCGCCCCAACGCTGCCGTTAAAAACAGAATGGCCTCCATGTTGTAAACACTTAACATCCACAACAGCAGGAGTTTAATGTGAGTGTAGTGCTTCATATCAGAAACGCTATGGGCTAGGAGCAAGGTGGCTCAGTGGTTAGCACTGTTGCCCCACAGCAAGAAGGTCCTGGGTTCAATGGGATTGCTGTTTGCATGGGTTTCCTGACTCCACTTCCTCCACTGATTTAGATCTGGAGTTGGTTCTTGGGCGCTGTAAAGTGGCTGCACACTACACACACTACTCCTAGTTCTTTGGATGGGGTGAATGCAGAGGACAAATTTATCTATACGTCGTACTGTGTATGATTGTATAGGTTAATATTAATACATGAGGAGGCACTAAACGCATGAATGGCAAATAAAAGGGAGATTAATTATATAATAACACACAAAATATACAGGTCCAGCAATTCAGAGTGGAGCAGGTGAAGGTGGAGCTATGGATGGTAATACTTAAGCAAATGCAGCTAAACGCTCACTTCCATGTCAAAAACAAAAAGAAGAAAAACAAAGAAACTCTCAGTTGCTATCTGTAGTGATTTTACACATTGATGGTTAAGTTCAAATTCCAAAACGCCACGTTTACGACTCCTTTGCCGAGGCTGTGAAGTTTCCCGACAAAACTGACAGTTGCAAGTAGCATGACCACAGTAAATCCTGCAGAATACATAAAACCAGTCTGGAACGTATGCTTGATAACTACACTGCATGTGTTTGGGGCTGAATGCATCACATCTGCGCTTGAAAAACATAGCCTTATAAATCTGGCCCATGTGTCCTTGTTTAAGTACTTTAGGAGACAAGGAGGCTGCAAATTGTTTCTGCTCACCTGCCTGTAGCAAGCTATCAGTTTCTTTAGAGAATAACATAACAGAATAATAATGAAAACAATCTGCATCGGTGCTCACAGCTACAACTGTTAATATTTATTTGACATTTCCAGCTTTCTGGCGACAGTGGAGTCGAGTAACCTATATTTTATAAATTCTTTAGCACTCAGTCTGTTATACCTGTTTCGCAGTTATGTTTATGAAATAATGTTAGCACTGTGTCCTGTGTGCAACAGTCTTACATGACTTCTGACACTATCCTCATCATTTTAAAGAAATTAATAATAATCGTGTGAATGAAGTCAGAATTGGGAAACTGGATTCTTTAAAGTCTGATGATGCTTGTATAGCCCGAAGACTGATCCAACACACCTCCACTCACCCTCTCTTCCTCCTTACCTTCCTCTTTCTGACCAGCTCTCCTTGCAGATGGTTGATCTGGACGAAGGAGCCATTGGAGCTGATGGCGCTGACCGGCCTAACCACCCTCACAGGCCTCCTGGACGGTCTGGAGAAACCTTTGACCTCTTCTGCTGTCCCATTCCCGAACCGGCTTCCTCTGTTAACGTTGCTGCTGCTCATGGAGAAAGACTTGTACAGACTGTCATCTAACGAAGACTCCCTAGCCATCTGCAGGTCTGTGTGGGATTTGGCTCTGAGTGACATTTCAAAGCCAGAACAGTGCAGTTTAGTGAAAAATGTCACTTTGCGGTAATTGTGATGGTGCTATGATGCACAGGGAGCTCCCGGTTGGTGCTCAGAATATAGGCGTGTGATGTGAATGAAGTTCTCAGTTTCTCGTCGAGTTCACTGGGTGGATCCTATCACCAAATGAGCATCATTTATTATTCATAAAGTAACATGAGAGGGCCGGGGCAGGGCTAGTGGTTACTGAGACTCTGGAAAATGTTTGTTGCTGTTCCCTTAAAGACAAAATAGGAATTGCTACTGAAAAGTACAGAAAGCCAAAGGTGTTATTATTTAGTTGCTTCACTTTGGCATGGAGGACCACTTTTCATCATCATCAGTCTTTCCATAAACGTAGCTAAGTGGTTTTTGGGCCTAAGCCTAACCAAATCTAACCACAGAGTTAGAAGATCATATGAAGTTTGTAACGGTCATATTCAAAGATTTTAAAAGGCACTGACAAATGACATTGTCCCATCGACAAGAGCACCTCATATGGGTTGCTTTTAAAAGCAACAACAAACATCATATTTCATATTTTAGTTTTCTTCAAATAATTCATTTGTTTTTCCATAATCACAAGGAAACATATATGGCCTCCATGACCTTCCGTACAAACAGCTCTTTTGCGCTTACCCCCCTAGTCTGGCCTCCCAGACCGGCAGGGTGCTTGCTCATCCCTCATGCCACTGTTTAGGTGCCAACGAGCAAGGCACTTGAGCCCCAACTGCTGTGGTTGAGCTGCTCAGAGACAGACAGAGATGAGACTGCTGTACTGAGTAAATATGAATGCAAGTATGAATCAAGTAATTCCTAAAGATTTCCATATACAGTATGACTAAAAGAAACAGAAAAAGACGTTTACTGTAGAAACTGTATATTATTCGACAATTCTGAGAAAAAAAAGAGTCTGTAACAAGCTTTGGATCTGTGCCCTCAGAAAAAATGCTGCATGAAGGAAATTGTCACATTTTAATCACTGAATTATGCTTTTATTTCCATTGGATGAAGAATTACACTCTCCCTGTCCAGAGAAGTATGACCAATTAGCTTTTCCTCCGGCTCCTATCTGTGCTACAGCACTGTATCCCTTACAGCCCAGCCATCCAGTCATCCATGCGGCAGCCTGAGGCAGGCAGGAAGCTCCATTATTCACGCAATATTCACAGAGTCATGAAAGTAAGACGTGTTGAACTCTCTCGCCTTCTGCACCACTGTACATTAAAACTGTCAGCAGGTGTGTGTAAATACATTGGACCAACAGAAGGGATCACTCTTCATGCTCACAGGCTTCTATCACTCCCATGTTCAGGTTTCCAAATGCTGGGTTAAAGAGATTAGAAAAGCTTGTAATATTGTTAATATTTAATATTGCTTATCTTATGCTACAAATGCTTCAAAAGTTAATCAATACGTGAATAATTAAGTTGTAAAAATTGTATAGAACCCTTTCATAAAAGTCCCTCTGAAACCTCAAATTTTGTTCATTAAACAAACGAGGTAAGACTATATCTGTGAGCTTTTGAGGTACTGGCACAGTAGGTGGAGCTACTTTCTGTTGGATAGAGCCCCATTAGCTGTTTCCAGTCTTTATACTAAGCTAAGCTAACTGGTTGCTGACAGTAGCTTCATATTTAGCCAGCAGATATGAAAGTGGTATCGATCTTCTAGCCTGACTTTGGTCAAGAAAACAAATATCATGTCAAACTATTGATTTAAAACTAAAGGCGTCCCCTCTAAGGCGGGGTTTCAACATGATGTATAGGCAGAGGAAACTCCTTCAGACCCTTTCCCTTTATATAGAGCTTCAATCTATTACCTGTTAATTTATTTTAGAATTAAAAGTAATCAGACAAATAAAGGCCAAAAGCCCCAAGATATGACAAAATAAAAATGTATCAGATTCCAATGAATAATCCTGTGGTCAGTGGAGCGCTGGAGCAATTGCCCATGTTGCCCTGTTGCTACTGGAGGCTTGCTCATTCTGCATACTAAATGAGCTGAATGAGTCAAAACATGACTCATTTCACTGTAACCTGAGCTAAGCAAGACAGATTGTTTGCTGTAATCATCAGCTGTCTACTACACAGGAAGGAACACATGAATTACTTTTGTGAAATGCAAAACATTGCAAAATGTCAGTGTCCCTTTAACCCTACTGTTATATTGGGGCCCCAGAGACTTCTGGCCCTCTTTAACACCTTCACATTTCATGGCTGTCCTAATTTTATAAGAATTGCTTCATAAACATGAACTGATGAACACGTTTCTACTCTGAAAAAGCTGACAGTGGCTACTTTTTACACAGGATGGGTGAATTTGTTCATACATAGCGCATACACACATTGGGAATATGGGTAAAGTCAAATAAAAAAAAAAATGTTCAGGGAAATTATTATTAATAATAAATAAACTGTTGTTGTTAGTTGTAGTAGTAGTAGTAGAAGTAGCAATAGTAATTTTTGTAGTAGTAGTAGTAGTAGTAGTATTAAACCTATAGCATTGGGCTCTGTAGGACCCCTATAAATTAATGTGGTGCATCAGAAAATGTTAGAACAGAAGAGCTGTTGACTAATGGTAGAAGAGTACAAGCGAATAGAAATACAAACAGAAAAAAGAAAAGACACAAGCAGGGACAATCCCACATTGTGTCTGGAAGTTCCCTTTCCGACCAGCCTGTCAGAGTAAACACACCTCTGGAAGATAAATGCTGACAAAGCGGAAAAAATACAAACCACTGACAAACTTTAACAAAAAAAAAACCTTTTTCAAACATATTGCTTTATCCATATTTGGCAGAGAAAGCACCAGTTTGAAGAACGTGACCTGCCTTCCTTCTTTAATATTTCCTGGAAATCCTCAATTTATAAAATAGCTCTGTGTTAAATATACTGTATGTGACATATATCTGTGATTTGGTAAACCATCCAACATCTGGATCAAACAGAGTTATTGTCAAGGTCTTTCTCCTATATGTTGTCCTATGCTCTGTGTTATCTCATAAAGGGGCATCAAGCAGATTTGACCTCTGTTTCCTGTTTCCTCATCCCATCTATATCACATTTGTTCCCTTTGCGTCTGCTTTATTTGGTTCTTCACTTTCAACCACTTCAGTGTATGTATTTTAGAAAACATGGCAAGATTTGGGTTTTTTACTCAGTTCTTACTTTTGTCCTTTGCAGCTTTTTTGTTGGTCTCTGATTCCAGTCTTATTAAAGGTAAGCTGTTTGTTTCTGACGTAGGTGCACCATTTAGACCAAATACAGGAACATTTATTCTATTTACAATTGTTTATTTTGTAAGTACATTTGAAGTCATGAATGTTGGCTATAACATTGAAAAACAGTTTTCAGATGTTTCCCGAAGACGGTGAAAGGAATATTTTCAGGACTCTCTGGCTCTAACTTCTGCACCCTTTTTTGCTTTTCATGTGACCATCCAAATTAATTCTAATAGTAGTCAGATATAAGCGTCAAGAATACATCAAATCATCCAATATTGTAATGAGTTAAAAGTGGAAATATTATGTTTTGTTGTTGTTTTTGTACCCAGAGAAGTTTCAGTATATAGTACAGTGTATAATGTAGGTTAAAGTGATCTAACTGAAATATTTAACACAAATAATAGGGTTTTTAAAAGGACAGTAACTCTTTTATAAACTGTAACTTTGACAGATGTAATGGTAAGTTTCATATTTAGTCCAGAATGAATATGTTTGTTAGTAGCAGAACTCTTGATCAGCTCGCAACGTGCTGATGGGGCTGAATGCTTTTTGAAGTGTGTATTTTTACAAAATGTCAGCAGTGCCTCAGAGTCAAAGGGCTGCTGGAGTGTTTCTGCTTATTGAAGGAGAAGAATACACCTTCAACTTCACTGCTGCCAGAGATGCCTGCCTATTTCTGAACGTCACCATGGCGACCAGAGCCCAGATGGAACGAGCATTGCAGCATGGACTGGAGACATGCAAGTAGGCTGAAAGCATGTGGTGACTGTTCTGGTGGGGTAGGATACCTGTTGTGCAGTGTCTGTTTCTGCTGACAGGTTTTAAATGGTAAAAAATGTCCAATATTAATCAATTATGCTTATGTTGATTTGTTGTTATTGAACCCTGTGCATCATATCAGGCCCACCAATACCAGCCGATTTCTGATTTGAACTTTTCTGAAGAGCCGGTGTGGCTGTTGCAATCTTGGCAATCCTTGACTTTGCCCATTCTGCAGCCAGACTCAAGTGGCCGTTCAAGGAACTGCAATTTTTGTTATATCCGTGTTGGCTTCATTTGCCAGCCATGGAGATTGCAGCTTGGTTGCTGTTCTCTCCGCTCCTTGACGATTGTATTTTTATCCAATGCGTTTTCCTCCCTAGTAAAAACCTGATGCCTATTATTACCCACAATGCAACTTGACCCTCAACAGTTCAGTTGGAGATTTGGGTGTGTTATGCTAGTAATGACTAACCTAGCCTCCAGCTGTTAGTCATAAGGCTACATACTTGAGGCAGTTGATAAAATTTTGTGCAGCTCCCTCTAAAGCCACAAAAGCTTTTGTGCGTTTTTCACACATGCAGTAATACTTCACAAGACCTGTAAAGTAATGGTCTACACACTCATTACAAACTAAGGTGAACCAATTTTTTATCCATTAATCTTATTATCAGCACTATTTACTATTTTAACAGATTTGGCTGGACAGCTGAAAAGATTGCAATTATTCCACGACTTACATCTGATGTAAAATGCGGAATGGGCAAAATTGGAGTGGTGACATGGCATGCAAGTGCAACAAAACCGTTTGGTGTCTTCTGCTTCAATGCCTCAGGTACAATTTATTAATTCATTAATTGAATGTATACTGTGCATTCCCTTGTACACTCTACAATTGTAATACTCAATAATTTATATAAAAATGTACCAAGGTGTATTCTGAGCATCCTCTAAATGAATAAATATTAACCTGTTTTACTCACCACTTGCAGATTTAGAAGGAACTCCAAACAGATCAACAACCAGCCCACAAAGCTCAATATTCTCGACCACTCGGACAACACTGACCCGAACCTCAACGCCTGCCACACCTCTGCTCAAATCAACAACCAAGGCTCCACCTTCAACACAGCCAACAACAACAAAAGTCCCTGAGAAGACATCTTTCATTTCAACTTCTTCTGTCCTAGTCAAGAGAACACAGTCAACCAGGATTTCCTCCACCTTCACAGCTCCTAAGACTTTCTCCACCCATCCTACTTCTCTTTCTCACCGGATCACCTCAAAGCCCACCGTCATCAGTTATGCCTTTTCTACTTCTGCTCATGTCTCTAATTTCCCTGTTTCCTCTGAGTTAGTGATGCCAACATCGGTGAGCCCCGTAAAACCGCCTCTAGGAGGTAGGCCCCTGTCTTCTTCTTTATTTTTAGATTTTCCTGTTTTCCAAAAATGGGGCAAAATTATCAATTCTAAGTAGCCTTTTTATTATTTTTTGACAAGTAGTGATCAATTTGAGTGACACATATGGGTGATTTTATGTTTATCAAAATCATAGTTGCTTATAATCCAATGTGATATTGTTCAAATTTTCTGCAACTCTCGAAAAGTAACTGTATTAACAAAAAGTACATTTTCCTGTTTTACCAGAATTAAAATATATGCCTTAAAGCTGCATTAATCAAATCTTAGCCACTAGGGGGCAGAAAAACACCACAAAAGCTGAAATATATTCACAAAAAAGTGAGTGTAAACCTTTAAAAGTTTGATTTAAATAGCCTACTATGTCTGAATTGGATTGAGGCCATTACCAATTCATGTAAAAACACACTAAAACTAAACAAAACACAAAATACCAATAGAAAGTCTTAATAAGGTTTTAGACTATAATAAATATTGATCAAGATAGATTGTGGTAGGTGGTGGAATTACTATGGTCAGCAACCAACTATCATAATAACAAGTTTTGCCACATGTAAATATATTTTTTCATGTTATTTTTAGTAGTTTTATGTGTATCATTGGTATCATTTGTGCCCAATGGAGAAGAAATCACACAATTAAATACAGGATAACATGGATGAATTTGTTGAATTTTGTTGATGAATTCAATTTGGATTTGAATTGGTTGCATGTAGCAACATAATATAAAGAAATTGTGGTAATCATTCCTAATTCTTTTGTTTATTTTCCAGACGTACCAACAGCACTCATCATTTTTGGCATCATCCTTCTGCTCCTAACAGCAGCAGGCGTTGTGTGGTATTACAAACTGTGAGTCATACTGTCAGATGTCCTGCATTGCTTAAACCACAGAAGCATATTTCTCCTTGGAAAAAAACATGTATAATAATGAATAAAAAGAATTATAATTTGATTTCATCTTGGAGGAGAGAGATAGTTTGAAACCATGAATGGCTCTTCTGTCTCTGTAGAGCTTTATTGTCATCAATTGTGACTGACTAGAAGCAACTCAAGCACTGCTATGTTTAGTTCTTAATACACAAGCTTCATACTCATACTTACTCCATGTGTACAACTTTTATTATGTAGCTGTTGCAAGAGGCAGTTTACAAACGGATACCAGAGAGAATGATCTTAGGACCTAATTTCTAATGAATTGAATATGCTTATCCATGTGTATTGTGTTTCTAATATGATTTTTTCCCCCTCTCCTTTTGGAAAAGGAATATTTTCACCTTTTGGCCTCAGGGGCAGCAGAAGGACGACATAGAGACAGAGATGTGGAAGCACACTGACAGTGAGATGGACCTGCACTGTCAACATGAAGATGATGAAGAAGAAGAATTAGACAGGAAGTACTCCAGTGATATCACGCTGTGTGTGAATCCAGACATGAAGACAAACTCGTCAGAGTAGCTTTACGATTTATATGTGGATTTTTTTCTAAAGTGGATTGAATGAATTACAACTGCAGTGTTACCTGATAACAGCATTTTCTCCTTACTTACTGAGGAGATTAAAATAGCATCAGTTATTCAGTTGCATGATCATATGCCTCCTAAATATCTTGTTTATTATTTTGAAGACTGAGGTTTGTCAGCAGTACAATTCACTGTTTTTTTTTTATCATTGGTTAATTATAATTAGCCTACTTGATTAGTACCATTAGAAAACACCATATAAAGCATTTGATTACATTGAAAATCGTTTCTGTAATGAGTTTTTAAATGTTGAATGGATTTAAAAAAATACATTTTATTTTTTGTTTAGCTACTCTTTTGCCACGGACTTGAGCAGACTGCAATAAAGAGAACATCAACGCACAACACATGGGACTGTTGTGATGAATATAAATTTACATTTTAATATGTAACTCTTTACTGTCCAAAATACAGCTTTGTCCAAATATCAGTGAAATCCTAAAAAATGTGAGTTTTTAACAAGATGTTTTAAAAAGGAAGCTCAGTAGTCAGTCAATAATTTCACTGTACAATTACATTAATATTTCAATAATATTTAAAAGTTAAGTTAAGCATTCTGTGTTAATATAGGCCAGTTCTCCTGCTGTGTTGGACATGATTACTGCATTTGTCTTGAGTTGAGTTAATAAATCCATCCACACAGCACAGTGGCGCTAATGAGCCATTCATTGTTTCCCAACCGACAAAAAAAAAAACACACAGAAGAAGAAGAAGGAGACGGTCACGTGAGGAGCCATCCACATCCACGCTGAAACCTCCATGGCTGAAACACCGTCAGCGCTGTTTACTGCTCTGCTCGGCGATAACGTTGGACAGAAAACATAAATATATACAAAAATGCGCCGTCTGGGCTCAGTTCAGCAGAAGATAGTGTGTGTCTTTGTGACGGAGGTGAAGGAAGAACAGTCTAGAAAACGAGACTGTCAGGTGAGTGCAGCTGCAGACACAGCAGACTGATGATGATGATGATGATGGCGGCGAGCAGTAACGACCAGCTGCACTGTAACTCAGAGTATGTGGGTCCTTTCTATCCTGCCGCTGATGGCTTCAACGGTGACGCATTTTTCTCTCGGCCGTCATGAAGCTGTGGCTCATTGTTCTCTGTCTCTGAGGGGGATTGTGCTGCTGCTGCTGCAGTTGTTGTACCAAATATAAAAGATGAATAAAAATATATCCAAAATCCCAAATAGACACAGTGGCACGGATATAAAGCAGGTTAACAGTAAGGTGCTAAAATGTGAAAATAAGTGAGGACTCTGGCACACAGCGTTGTTGATGAGATGGACATAAACTACTGTGTACTAACAGTTGTAAACAGACAGTAGTGCAAAGGATGCTGAAATGTTTATTTACATGCAGCTTTCTTGGCATGTTGTGGTTTGGTGGATAAGGCAGTACACACAGTATATGCAGTGTACACAGCATGGGCAGATGTGTTTGAATGATTGTATTTGTGAAACTGAATTTCAACAGTAAAAACAATAAATAATAAAAAGTTTAAAAGCAGCAAATCCTCACATTTGAAAAGCTGGAAGCAGCAAATATTAATAATTAACATACAATTAATACAATTATCAAAAGCGTTTCAAAAGATTCTCTTGACTGACTAATTGATCAAAATAATCACTGAAAATAATAATAATCACCAGCCAATACATATTTTTTGACTTATTAATAATATGTATGTATGTATTTTGTTTTAAGAGTAACATGAAGGGAAGTACAACCTGAATTTAATTACACAACCCTGTGTTGTAAACTGACAATTAAATTACTGTGTATCCTTGTAAAATGTCTGATGTGTCAGTGTAGTGCCATTAGTTGCCACAGGGTAAAAGTTATGAAACATCCCCACTACTATATAATAATGTACAATATGAGGACGGTTTATCTGTAAATATTGTGCATTTTCGTGCCTCTTTAATATATTTTTCACTAATGTTAAGATGAATGGATATATGAATAACAATGGCAATGTATTTTTTGTTGTTTTTTGTTTCTCTTAAGTCTATAATAGTGAACCATCTGTGTGTCTCTCCAGGTGTTTCAGGTTGCTGCCACAGAAAACGTGAACCCCATCGCTCTGGAAGCCAACGTTGATTGCGCGCTCGCCACAGAAAAACTGGATGGCACTTGCTGTTATGTTGCAGTTTATAAAGGTGGGTATCCGTGGCCCCAGTATGCTACATCTTTTATCATGTAAAAATACACCAAAGATACTATTTCAAACTCGACAGATGTGAGGAGTTGCTGCCTTTTCTGCTTTATATTGGAAATATGGTGGTTTATTTTTTTTCTGCAGGGCAACCTTACCTCTGGGCTCGACTCGACAGGAAACCCAACAAACAGGCAGAGAAGAGGTTCAAAAAGTATCAGCATTCTCACAGGACCTGTAAAGGTATCTTAGCTTCAGTTAATTAAGTACATGTAAATACGAATGTTGGGGAACAGTTGCTTTATTTCTACTGGGAGGTTGGACCAGTGTCACTGTTCTCTCTTAGGTTTCACGTGGAACGTAGAGGAAGATTTTAAGACGGTGCCAGAGACGTGGATCCCAGCCCACAGAGTCAAACACCACAATGGCCACCCAGTGCCCGATGAGCATGGACACATTCCAGGTGCCAAAGTGAAACCATTAATCTTCAAGTAAAATAAATCCTAAAATAATCTTTTAAATCATTTAGACGTGGCCAGCAGGTAGTTGCTTCACAGAGCCTTTACTGCATATGTGCCGCTGCAGGCCCCATCTGCTTCATGGTAGACCACATCTAAAGTGGTCATTATGGTGTACCAGCGCGGGACATAAACATCCCAAACAGCAACACCATTAAAGATAATAGTTGTGTGTAATGTTCGTAAAAGACAAAGACCTCACCCTGCAGCCCAGAACAGAATAAACAGATAGAGAAAATGTTACGAGAAGCTCTCAGTTTGCAGTCTGAGTATCAGAGTATCAACACAAATACAGTTACATGTATGAGGGAGCTCATAACTGTGTGTGTTTATGCAGAGATACAGAGTACACAAGATAGTACAGACAGTAAAATTACAACAAATCCCAGCACTGGCTTATGTTGAATTTGCTTTGAAATTATCTCAAAGATGTCTCAAGTTTGGTACACATAGATGAAATAATGAGACCTGCGTCCCTGGATTCCATTCAGGAAGTCAACCAGTTACATTTCTGATGTAGAAGATGGTGGAAATGCTTTTTCTGTCAGTGTGCATGATGCTGCCTGCAGAAATGGTGATTTGGTTCCCGTGAATGTTCAGGCTGGGTTCCAGTGGAGAAGGACAACAAGCAGTACTGCTGGCACTCCTCTGTGGTGGATTATGAAGTCCGGGCGGCTCTCGTTCTCAGGCCCAGCGCCGACAATGAGGACGGGCTAGAAATTGCAGCGGTCCCGTTGGCCGACCTCCTGGAGCAAACACTGGAGCTCATTGGAACCAACGTCAACGGAAACCCTTATGGTAATGTGAGATTGCATTTTTCCTTTCAATGATCATTTGAAGTTGTGTCTGGGCAGCAAATAGTTAACACAACCTTATGTTTGTCAATTTCAACAATACAAGTTGCTTAAAAATGGTTATGTTGTTTTTTTTAATCTAGTTTATTTTCTCCTGTTGACAGTATTCATCATATCTATATTTTTCTGAGACAATAATCAGAGGTGCTCTGAAGAGTTGTTTTTATAAACATATGAACAAAACACATTGTGTGTCAAATGCATTTCCTTCCTCACAAACATTTCACAAAGAAGCTAGCAGTTTTCCTCTTCCCTACCTTTGTTGGTACATTGCTACGTTTCTTTGCATGTTACTGCCACTGGTCGACAATGATAACAGAATAATGCAGTCATCAGCAATGTGTATTGCATCCATGTGCACAATTAAATCAAAACTTATCAGGACATATTAGGGAAAAAAGGATACTAAAATATATAATTACCATAATAAATAATAAAAACTGTTTATTTGTAACAAAGTTTTATTGTCCTAACAGGATTGGGGAGTAAGAAGCAGCCTGTCCACTGCCTGGTGTCACACGGGAGCATTCAAATCAGTAACCCTCCACCAGTGGACTTCCAGCGGCTGTGCTCCTGGTTCCAGGAAAGTCCAGAGGGCCGGGTTGAGGGAATTGTCTGGCACTGCAACAACGGCACACTCTTTAAGGTAAGAAAAGTTAACACACAGTGTGCAAATTCTACTTGATGACTGATTAAATAAAAAAACTATTAGTTACACAAGTGAGTGTTTGTTTGACATACAGTACAGCAATCCATAGACAGACTTCTTACTTGGAAAATAGTTTTCTTAATATTATTTAAATTAAAAATGTTTTTTGAATTCCAAACTTTACAGTATTAAACGCATGAAATTACTATTATGATATTACTATTATGTCCATAGGTCCATCGTCATCACCTGGGACTGAAGTGGCCAGACGGGGAAACCTCCCTGGGTGACAGGTCGGTGGTCGTTCATGTTGATGGGACGGTTAATGAATACAACAACAGCAAGGACTTGTTCACATCCTTCTCCAGACTAAATGGACACCATATCAGCCGACTGAAGGACATCCAGTTTGACTCGTAAACAGCCAGAGAACCACAAACATTCCTTTTGTTTTTTTAAGCTGCTGCTGTGACGCTGTAAGGATTTAGCACTTTGGTGATAGCTGCCAGATGTGTTCAGCAGTAATTCCAGATGAGTACAGAGTGTATTACAGCCTGGAGACATTGCTTTGCAGAAATGTGTAAAAATGACCAACTGAAGTTGTTAAAAGATTAAACTACTGTAAATACTGTATGTTACAGCTGAAGGAAGACAAGTGTGAAATTCTTTTCTATAAAACTTAATGAATCCGAAAAGCTTGATTAATATGAAAGCTGCTTTATTGACAAATACATAGAAGCACAGTGTGTCAGAAATGTACAAATATAAAGAAATAAATATGCAACATAATGAGTTACATCACCAAAGCCAGGGTTTAGTATGAACAATAAACAGCTGCCTTATGGAAGAAAGTAAGAGTTACATCAGTTCACTGACAGACGGTCAACTTTACTCTTAGTTCCTGTAAAGAGACATTTTCTAGCAAAGTAAAGCTATTTGCTTGAGAATTGGCAACATTCTGATTGAAATCAGGAACTATCAAAGAATAAATGGCAAAAAATAAGTAAACAAGGATACAGTCTGATATTAGTGTACATATAAAAAATAATAAACCTCCTATAAACAAGTTTGTAATAAATTAATCTTACATTCTAGGGTGGATAAAGGCTCTCTAAAAATCACTGTCATTTTAGAAAAATAAACGTCAGTCCATAAATAACTACTGTCTTCACCAGCCACAACAAACATAATTATTGACTATTGGCCCTGAAATTCCCCGTCGTAGCATCTCTGCCGATCAGACAGTTTTCACTACTCACTACCAACATTGTATTGAACGTTGATACCCAGCCCCACAGATCTAAATAGGAATGTACCTGCAGAGGTAATAGAGACAATAATGTCCACTTTTAAGGACCGACAAGCATAGAATGACATTCAGGTGTAGTTTTAACAGTCCTGGCTTCATTAAAAGGCACAGTAACCCTGAGCTAACTGATGGACGAGCTTGGCAGTTCAACCTTTACACCAAACTGATCGCACACCTTCTTGAGCTGTTCCTCCAGCAGAATGTTCTTCTTGACCTCTAAATTGTAATTATATTTCAAATCTTCAATCTCTTCAAAAAATGTCGGGTCGAAGCTCTCCAGTTCTTTCTTCAGCTTTTTAACCTCAGTTTGAAGTCTAGTTTTCTCCGTTTCGGCTGCGTGCAGAAGGTTTTTGAGCTTCCCGTAGTCTGAGAATACAACGAGAGAGACGACTGAGGTGACAGTTTACATCTCGTATATTAAGCTGAGTAGTCTGGTTAATTAGACTGAGACTCAATTACGTATACACAAAAACACGTCGCATATTTTGATATTAAAATTAAAATAAAATAGAAAATCATGGCTCTTCAGTGTCAGGTTACAATCATAAGTATGTGGCATGCTTTGCTTGGACTTGGCATGCTTCTTTTTTTACTTGATAACAAAATTAAAAAAACTAAAATATAAAAACACTACTACAAAAGCCAAATAAATCATGCAGCTTAGTTCATTAAAGAAACAGTAGTGTGTTTGGAAGTCTTACCTAGTTTAGAAGATGTCTCACCATAACGCTCACTGTACTCGTTCAGCTTTTGTTTCAGCTCTGTGTTCTCCCTCTGCAGCTCAGTGTTCACCAATCTGAAGGTAAACATACAAGATCAGGATGGGAGGTATTGCTGTCCACCATCTAAGCATTGATAAACCTTGTAGTTTTGCTTACACTAATTTGAATCAGACTGTTGCTTGATAAACACTTCCAATCATTGTGACTTACAGAGCATTCAAGGTAAATTTCTCCTTGAGGTCATGCAGTATATTATGATTGGCTTGGCAATAAATCAATATTGTTATTTTTCATCTCAGTGGAATTATATTGTGATGACGTCTAAACTGAAGACGAATGAAGCAAACTGCAATATACAGCTGACAGAACCACTACGGTATTTTAACACATATTTTATGTATTTTAACGCTTTGCTTAATGCAATACATAACAGTGTATGTTATGTACTGCATATGTATAAAACCCTGCATTTAAAATCTACTTGATTATACTGTGTGTGTTTGTGCATTTCTTTGCCATATTGTGATATATATGGATACCCTATGCACACAGTGTGATTTTGTTCTCACTGGAACAAGCTGCTTCTGATTTTTAATGAATTATACAAATAATAATAACAGCAACTATTTTAACTTGCTCCCGCAATTTCATTACAAAAAATGGCCTTTAAACATCGCCACATGCGTTGCAATTTTTGAGAAAAGCTGCTGTTAAATGGCCACAACAATCCCTGCCAAATCCTGGAGGGCCTGATTATATTACTGTATTATCTCTATTAAGTACTGACAGTGCACACAGTTTGACAAACCTCATTGACTGCAGCTCCTTGGTTAGTCCTCCTCCTGTCTTTGCAGCGGTAGGAAATCTTTTCAACATGTCAACCTAAGAAATGACAAACCCATAATTACAATTTAAATACATTTATACAGCACATTTTATATTGACTACTCTTCTGTCACAAACACAAGCTGTACAGTAAGACCAGCTATACAATGGAAATGCCAGACTTTAAAGTAAAATATTTCCTTTTAACCACCAATTTTACTCGTCAAGGTCAATGGACTCCTATGACTAGTAGATTGACTTCAGTTGGATAATCAGGGTTATCTCAGCGTGGACTTGGAGGCTTTAAATTTGAAAAGAAAGCCTGTGTGACAAACTGGGGTTGTGGAGTTTGACAGATGTGGGTAACCCTCTTGAAATGACATGATTGAACAAAGCACTTATAAACCCATTAGTCGTTACTGTTAGAGCACTGACACTTGTAAAAACCGGACAAAATGTAACATAAATAGTTACATACCATAATTATACCTTTAAAATCAAAGTGTAAAAATCTGTTTCAGTACCTGATCTTCAAGTTGCCGAACATTTATCTGAGCTCTCTCCTCCCGCTCTTTGACCTCCTTCAGCTGCTGTTTGAGCTCAGTGAGATTGGAGGTCTTCTGGGAGAGCTCTTTCTCAAGCTCATTCATCTTGTTCTCAAACATTCTGCGGATGGAAGTTAAACAGCCACTGGCTCACACTCTGTACACTGTACTTGTACCCTGGAGCTACTACATGTGGTAAAGGTTTTGAATTCAGCCACCTGTGAAAGCCTGAGTAGCAAGGAGGTAATGGAGACTGGGTTCTTCGTGCCTGTCCTGAATTTCTTTCTACTGTAGGTTCATACTGATTTAACCTATGGTACACCCATCCATTGAAGCTCAGAAAGCTTTTAAACTTTAAATCCACTAAAATAAGACCCTAACGGATCTGAAAAAACAACAATTTGCTGACCTCGTCACCACAGATGCCTTCCAGGCCTTACTGTCCGCTCGTTCTGTGATGGGTCTGGATAGAGCTGCCCGCAGTCTGTGCTTGGTTTCTTCCAGCTCTGCCTCGAGCTTCTCATTCGTCACCTCCAGACTCGTCTTGGTCACTCTCAGCCTCTCTGCAGCTTCAATTTCCTGTCACAATATGAAACATGCATAAGCAGGTGGGAGAACAGAGATGAAAACGTGTTCAGAAGGTGTTATTTTAAGAGACATCCAGGTAAAAAAGGAAAAGCCTTTAGAATACAGAATCAAAATCTTGAAAGTGTTCTCTGAATCTAGTGACTAAATACCAATTTTTATTACAATGTCTGTCTTCAGAAAGTGCTTTTGAACATTTCAGTTTTATTGTGGACAAAGATATGTTGTTACCCTTTTGTTCTCCTTGCGTAGACGTTCATTTTCCATGACTATTTTCTCCAGTCCTTTAGTTTTAGATTCAAGTTTGGAAGTCAGCTCAGCTTCACTTTGACTCTTCAGTTTCTCATAGTCAGCCTAGATAAAAAAAAAACCAATCAGTTAATGTCAGCTGTAGTAACAGCCTTAAACTTGTAACTTAAACTTGTTCGACAGAATGTATATGACAATGTGGTCAACGACCTTTAGTTTTACGTTTTCTTGCTCCAAGGCAGCAACCTTTTCTTGATTTGTAGGTGCACTGGATTTCTTTAGCGTCTCATTTTCCCTCTGCACCCTCTCCACCACCCTCTTCATCAACCCAATGGTCTTCTCAAGTTCAGGTACTGTTTTACCGCTGTGGCCAGCCTGAAGAGGAACACATTCATTATCATGATCTACTAGAACAAGAGTTTGGTGAATTCAATTTCTTTTCGTGCTTTCTATTGCTTTATTAGATAGTAGCAGCTGAAGAGCGACAGGAATTGAAGTTGGTTATGGTAAGGACACTTAAAGGAGCCTTTATACATGGGGGTGCATGCTCTACCAGGTGAGCTACATTTCCATTAAATTTCCAAGGAGCACATCTGTGGACTTGCTGCAGTCAGATTCAGTTTTTTGCTATTTTTTCCCATTAGATGTTTTGTTTACCTCATATATAGAAACATATAGTTATACTTCTTGTAATTTCTGTGTTTTGTGTTTTGGGAAAAAGACTTGTGAATAGATATGCATAGCTGACTTTAGGTTAACATACTCCACGTAGCTGTGCCAGCTTTTTCTCCACCTCTGCCTTTTCCTTTTTCAGCACGCTGCACATTTCCTTCAGGTCTGCAACTTGATTCTGTAAAACAACAAAGAGAAATTGGATGAAATCTCACATACATCTTACATTTGCTCCTACCTAAATCAATATTATCCTATCTTACAGATCTTACAGTTACTAGTTAATGTGTGGTAGGGGTTATACACTATTTTATTGAATTGTTTGTACAGTTATGACACTGAAATAAAGATGGTATTTACATTGCAGCTTAAGAAGATACACAATTTACTTAAGATAAAAATGGCATCAATAAAGAGGAAGAAAAATCCAGCTTTCACTGACAGGTTTTTGGGAAATACTCTTCGCTTTCATGCCAAGAGTTAGATGAGAGGATTGATCCCACTCATGTCTAAATATGAAGCTTCAGCTTGTAGCCGATTACCTTAGTTTAGCACAAAGACAAGAAACACTGGAAAACAGCTAGCCAAGCTCTGTTGAAAGATCATAAACTATAACAACCAACCCCTCTGAAGCTTCACTAATTAAAACTTTATAACGTTCTTTTTTATGTGCACCAAAACTGATGATTGGGACCCACCTTCATTTGCTGTACTGTGTCTTGGCAAGAAAGTAAATAAGCATATTCCCGGAATATCAGCACTATTATAACAATGGCATAGCACATAACAACTACTTGTCAGTTTAGTTTACGCGTACCTTGAGTCTTGGTAAGTCTTTGTTGGTCTGCTCCAACTGAAAGCGCAGCTCCAGGTTCTCAGAGGCCAGCTTGAGGTTTTCTTTTTGGAGGTCCTGATCTCTCTGTGAGGGAGTGCCAGTGCCTCGTCCTGAAGTCTGCAGCAAGTCAAAGACACAAAATCACCCACAGGAAATTAATTCAAAGGCATGATGGGTATATAACACTGCTGTGAAGGAAAAGCAAAAGCTCTAAGGGAGTGTAGAACAACAGCTTAATTTGAAATGAAACAGTCTCTACCCAAACACAACCACAGGAACCTTTAGTCCATAACGGACAATGCAGAGGAGAAAAACACCTACACAATAACAAACAAACTTACTAATCACTTTTACTGCCTTGGGTTTGCTCTACTACATCTATCGCACAGTACTACCACTTCACCTGGGTGATTAAAGAAGCCTGAAGTACCTTCAGATAGCTAAGAGATCTGCTTTCTCGTTTTCGTACACGCTCATCCTTTTTTTTACTGATAAACCTCTCTGGGTATTTGCACCGTATGGAGTCCACATCTGGTTCTGCTAAGCACAACTTTCCTGGATTATCTTCCTCTGTTGACTCCTTTGTAGTCTCAGCCTCTTCTGGCATTTCCTTCTTGATTCCCAATTCATCATCATCTGTATCTTGATCAGCTAGTTCCCCAGTACCCTGTTTATTCACTGTTTCACTCAGCCGCCTGCCTGTTGCTCCCGTGGCTGGCTCAGGGGATGACATGTCTGATCCTGGTCTTTCTGACAGATCACCTGGCTCACTTCCTTTTGTGGTCTGTGATTCTTCCTTTTCTTCGCCCACATGAACTTCAGAACCAACTGGGATGTCTTGTGTACTTTCTAAAACATCTGCTTCTGTTTCTGTCTCATTTTCTGAAACATCATCTTCTCTGGTCACATCTGTTTTGCCTGCTGCTGCGTTTTGTGCAACATCAGGACTTGATTGGTCCCGTTTATTGCGAACATCCCCTGCTCCCACAAAGCTGGTTTGAGTTTTTCTCTTGATCTGGCTTGGGTTGGGTTCCCTCTGTTGGTCAGCTGGGGTTTGGCTAACAGAGCGGCTGTAGGAGTTAACAGGACGAAGTGCTGCATTCCCTTCGCGTGGCCCATCCTCAACATCAAAAGTTACAGAACAAATCCCTCTCCAAGCACGGGAGGGGGACCTTTTTCCCTTCACAGGTAATAAATCATAATAAATCCAGAGGAGAAGGAGATAAATAAAAAAAGATAGTAAAGAATGATGAACAGAGAGATAAAAGGAAAACATATTTGGCAGTAAAACAGGGACATGTCACAGAGAGAGGAAAAAATGATTTACTTAGTACTAGGGTAGGGTGATTGGACAAATATACCCATTGCTGTTTTTTTGGGGGTTTTTTTTTTTGGGGGGGGGTGATATATAGGGTGATTTTTAATTTATTAGCTAATTTAATGGCCTACCTTTGAAGAATGGGAACTGCTCAGTGACAGACGTTGAGCGGCGCAGTACACACACTAAGAAGACGAGAAAAACAGCTGTAGAGCCCGTTTATTTTCACATCAAACAGCAGTGAATTAAGGGTTTATTTAGAGGCCGAATATTTTCACACCTAACTCTGTTAGATGGTTCGACACCAGAGCTGATTGATAAAATGGTTTGATGAGTTTTATTTTGTTTTTGTCGACTTTAAATGAAGTGTGTTTTACGATTGCTTAACAAGGTTCGGTATAAGAGAGAAACTTTAAATTTTTAATGTTAATTAATGTTAATTAACCAAGATTGTTTTTGCAATTAATTGATAAAGCCTATAAAATGGCAAAAAGGTGAAAAATACACATCACAAATTCCAAGAGCCAGTGGTGACGCTTTAAAATGGATTCTTGTTAAATACTGAAAGCTCTATAAAACAGAAACTCTGAAAGTTCTTATTTGAGAAGCTGAAGCTGCATGTTTGGCACATTTGCTTGACAAACTTCTTACATTATAAACTAGTTGATCAAAAACATTTTTTCAGTCAATTGAAAAATAAACAAAGCTTTCCAGCTAATATATGTTTCTATGTGAATTATCAGGGTATTTCTGACATTTATTACAGTCATCATGTTCTCAATGTTGAGTACTTACAGAGGGTCTTGATAGAGGCTCTTTTGATATCTGGCTCTCTAAGGAATGGAGTCTCTCCTCCAGGTAGCGGTTCCTCAGGCTCAGATTCTCCATGGCGTCATCACGGGGTAAAGCCTGGTGCTGTCTGCAAGTTCAAGAAGTTCATGCAGAGGTTAATGACATTTTACTTCAATGGTCAAAACCTCTGTTGTCAAAACTCAGATTGGAGCCATATCCAGTTATTTGGATTATTCTGTAGGGCTTTCAGTGTAGCCTCAAGGTTATAATTCGCTAAATGCAACAGTAACACCTAAAAAGTCTTAGTTCTTTCTAAATTTAGACTCTGTATAAATAGAAGAAGTTGAATTTATATTTTGTGAAGCCATGTTTTGCAACTTTTTTGTCAATTCGTTTTGTTATTAAACTCCTGGACCTCCTGTTCATCAGTGTGTTTTTAGGTTATGTATATATTGCAATGGAAAATATGATAACACAATGCACAAATATACTGAATCATCATGCACAAGATCTTTAAAATAAACCAAAACACGTAACAAAAATTGGGGCATTTTGAACAATAGGAAAGACTGCGAGTTACTTTATGGTGAAGATCTGTCTCTCCAGGTCTAAGTTCTTCTTCTTCAGCTCCTCCATCTCCCTCTCCATTTCAGTGGATCGCACTCCCATCACCTGATCAGCAGTGACTCCTCGAGCCTTCAGCTTTTGCTGCATTGCACTCCTCTCTTGCTCCAATCTGTATATATAATATAGAAAGTAATCCTTACACGCAGCTTTATTTATAATGATCATTCAGATGATTTCATTACACTACATTCCAGAATCACACCTTCAGTCCCTCTAGCTGTCATTTGCCTAATGCAGCTTTAAGCAGTAAGTAATCCTGTCATGTGCACAAAAAGCAAAGAATAAAAATATCAAGATCAAAGAATGCTTTGTAAACCGTTCAGTATGAGGTGCACACTGACCTGGCATAGAGGTCTTTAAGAGTGCTGAGCTGTTTTGACAGTGATTCATTCTCTCGTTCCTTCTCCTTCAGTGAATTCTTCACCTTTTCCATCCTGGCCTGCCATTTCTTTCCCTCCTCCCAACGCACAATTTCATCTCTATTCTGTCAGACAAACAAGGCGTACATCAAGTGAACATGCGACGAACGACAACAATGCTGATAACAATAATTATACAGTAAAAGAGCTGTGATATAATGTCTGATGTTGACTGAATTGATGTCCAAACCTTTCCATGATCATCTTTGACATTTTTCATTTCTGTTCTCTTCTCCAAGTCATACTCCAGCCTCCTGATCTTCTTCTGCAGATTCTCAATGGTCAGCCCCTGCCCATCTGGTTCTGGTTGATTCTAATCGGCAAATACGGAGAAAAAGATTTTCATAGCACCTCACTTTTCTCAGAAAGAGTACAGTAAATACTGACAGCACTCCAACACGGCATGAGAAGAATCACCCTGCAAAGGTCAAAAAGGTGAAAAGTACACATCACAAATTCCAAGAGCCAGTGGTGACGCTTTCAAATTGATTCTTGTTAAATACTGAAAGCTCTATAAAACAGAACACTGAAACTTCTTATTTGAGAAGCTGAAGCTGCATGTTTGGCACATTTGCTTGACAAACTTCTTACATTATAAACAAGTTGATCAAAAACATTTTTTCAGTCAATTGAAAAATAAACAAAGCTTTCCAGCTAATTTATGTTTCTATGTGAATTATCAGGGTATTTCTGACATTTAGTCGTCTGACGGCTGTAAGAAATGCAGCCAGGGTCCTGAGAAAAAACCAAACCCCGACTTTAATAATACACGCTGGAGCTAATCCACAAGAAGACCCAAATAATGAAATAAACTGTGATATCCACTAGAGGAGTTGATTTTAAATCTTAGAAGAATGTGTGATTACATTGTCGACGCATTCCTCAACTTATTTTAAATTTGCCGCTAAAGAACCTGACAGGGTTTGTGTGTCTTGCCTAAGTCAGGAGATCCCAGTCATTTGTCCACATGATGTTATGCTGACACTGGTGTGTGTCATGTGGCTGTTGTTGAGTGCATCACTCCAAGGCTTATGTAATAACAACAGCAGCAACAACAATAAGCTCCAGATCACAGTCCCAGTCACAGTCCTTACAGTTACTAACCTGAAGGGCGCTGCTGAGCCTCTTGATTTGCTGCTTGAGCTCCTGGATTTCCTGCTCTCTCTCCTCCTTTTCAGCCTGCAGGCGTCTCTGGGTTTTTTGACTCCTCTGGAAGTCCTGGTTCAGACTGTCCACTTCCTCTTTCAGGGTGTTCTCCCGGCCTCTGGCTGCTTTGACAGACTCCTTTGCAGCTTGAAGTTCTTCATTGAGTTCTTGCACCCGCACCTTTGGAGAAGAGGGATTCTTCAAATTAAAGGATATGTCTGATGATATTCTGTTGTCTTCTTATTGACAAGAAGAATGTATGCGTCTGTGTAAAAGACTATAGCCAGACTTATCCTTTAATGTTACCATGACTACTTGCTTATTATACTAGTTAGTGATGCCCATGGAATATAATTGGCTACAGGCATTCTATAAATACCAGTATCTCCAAAAAAAATCAGTCTGTTAGTATTTAACTTAATTTGCTGTAACATTGCAACGTATTCACATCTGTCAAGTTATGCTACACAGACTAATCGTGCAACTGAGTGAAAATAAATTGTGATACATTTACTACTGGCTGTAAACTGTGATTAATGAAAGGGCCATGAAAGGGAGTCGACCAGATGTTAAACATGCCGTCTGTGCAAGGAGGCTGGCACGTGCCAACTTCACCTTATGGTTAGCTACTGTTCAGAGACACTGGAGACAGACAGGCTATGACTGTAAATCAATATAGACCAGAAGCATCTACTAAAGGTTGCTAATGAGTATAAATGTGTGAGTAGATATTTCTGTTGCTTTATGGAATGTTCCTATTTTATAGAAAATATTTGTTAAGAGTAAGCTGAACAATAATTAACTTACCCCTGATGCTTTCTCTGTGTTAGTTATTTAGCTCAACAGATATTAAGATATGTTAGTAATGACATACAACATGCATGAAAAACAGTAGTGTAATAAGTGGATCCCACCTTTAGGTCCTTGGTGTGTCTGTCAACCAGCATCTGTACATTGAGACTCTCCTCTTTTTGTGCAGCGCTGACTATAATTTGCTGCTCTGCAGCAGATGTCATCTCTGCCCGCAGCCCCAACAGAGCCTTACTGAGAGACTGAGGGAACAGGGAGCACAGAGATGCCAGCTATGATAAATATGAAGGGATTGGAGAAGGAGTCAGTCCTCATTTTACAGTTAATGCACCATCATCCATTTCTGCATGGACTGGTACAAACTTGACATACAACATTTTTTCTGCATGGGGGGAATACAGAACAATTACAGAACTTGGCAGCAGTTTTAACAGATAAAACAGATCCAGATATCTGGATGTGCAGCTTAAAGGCTGAAAAGCAGTATTAAATCAAACTTCATTCAAGTTTCAGTACCAGCACACACTGGACAGAAGCTGGAGAATATCCAGGTGAGGCTACCAATCCATCACACAGCCTACAGAGACACTCACTCCAGATTCCTTTGTTTTAAGAATTGACAGCACCCTTTCACCTGTGAGGCACATCTTTGGACTGGGAAGAAACAGACCCACCCAAGTGCAACGTGCCAACAACAGACAGCATTTACTCATTCCCCAAAAAATTTATCTGGGTTCTTTTGTAAGGCAACATGACTAACCACTCTATGCTGTTTAAAGAAGAACAAAGTACAGATAAACGTTCAAGATAAAAGAACAACCTTGAGCTGTTTCTCTTTCTGGGTGAGCTGCGCTTTCAGTCGTTCCACCAGCTTTTTCATGGTGTTGCTGGGGGAGCGGACGTTGGCCTCCTTCTGTGCTGCCAACTCAGTTTGCAGGTAGTTTATCTCCTTCTCCATCTGGGCCATCTGGCTCCTCTGATCCTCAGTCTCGCCAGTCAAAGCTTTCACCTGGGCAGCATAATGCTCCTCCAGCCTGCAACATATCCCCTTTGTTAATTTGTTTTATAACATACAGATTTTGTGTTATTACATAATTTGAAATCCTTTTAAGACAGAGTTTAATTTATATCTGACAGTAGGGAAAAACTTGCTCCAGCGCATTATTACTCACTCCATAAAGTTGGGGCGCCATTTTACACTGAACAAAATGTGACCAACATGTGTCTCTTGTGTTCTGTAGCTAATATGGTTTGCAGGGGGCGTAATTATGATAAGCATAAGGGAACATACCAAATCCAAGTCAGCTTGTAGCAAACATAGAAAAATAGGGAAAAAGGGATAAAAAATAAAGCTGTTCCTGAATACCCAGGGTGTTCCTGAAACTGAAAGTTGAGGTGGGGTCTTTCTTCAGACAGGACAGTTGCAACATGTGTAGTAGACAGCTATTATACACACAGGTTAATGACTTTTTGACAGGGAACACAATGTCTAATGTGGAACACTTAACTTTCATTTACACATTCTGCCATTTTGGAAAGTCGCTTTTTAGATTAAATTTCATTCATTTGGCAGTAACAGGTAGGGCAGCAGGGGTTTGGAAGGTCATTTTAACACCCATATCTATTAAGGCCAGGCAATATTGCCTATTTGGCAAGTCATTTTTACCACATGTAAGGCAATATATCGATCAAGCAGTGAGATATTTCTGGCATGCAGCTTTATTCTTCACTGTTGGCAGGTGTAAGTGATAGTTTTGTTACAAAGACTAAAACTAAACTAGGACTAAACTAATTAGTTATCAATTTGTTTCGACAAATGTAGGGTAATACTGCAGATTCAACATGGTTGGTGACAAAACATCCATGAGTAATTGTCTATTCCTTTTTCACATTAATCCATCATTGCCAATCAGCAGTGAGGTCCGGAAAGGTACCTGATTTCTGCTGCAATAGAACGTCAAACTGAGACACAGAGTTGCCAGTTTATTAGGTACCTACCTATCTAGCTAAATCTAGCTAAACCTAGCTAAACTTAAACAGTTCACTCTAAGGTAACAAAAACACAACTATTCTTATTTTCAAAGTTATACACTAATGAAAACATACCTATGAATATTATATTCCCAGTCTGCCAATAGATCCTCCTAAATGATACACACTACACAACATCCTTCCTTCAACTGCCCATTAAGTCACTTTAAGGTTGTTAATACCTTATTCCTGTCTGTGGAACCGTATTATGACCTGTCATACAGCATGCACAATCATTTAGAAAGGGTTGGTGTTGTTGCATAGTGAAATCTTAAAAGCTTGAATGTTTTAAATCATTACAGGCTTAAAGATAGAAGATGTATTCAGGGACTTTTAAAGGCTACCTCACTACACAGTATTTGCAGTTGTCTTCTGGGTAACTCACACTTGAATGTGTGATTATTCCTATGTTAATCTGGGGTTCACTCAAATTACAAAAATAAAAATAACATATTAAAACCAAAAAAAAATAAAAACAATAAAAAACAAATTACAATAAATAAACTAAATAAATATACCTTAAATTGTACAAAAAACCCAATAGGTTTAGTTTGAGGTTATCAAATGTATAAAAATTTAAATTACTATGTTAATGTAAACAACTAAGTTAAAGGAAACATAAAGAATTCTGACTTTGCTTTAATGTAATCTTCACAGGTGACCACTGAGTCAGGGAATGTGGTTTAATGATGGGATATTCACTTTGACTTCTCGTCTGCGTGTTTCTTAGCCAGCGTGTCCATGGCGGCCTTCTGTCGCTCCAGCTCAGAAGTGGTCAGATTCAGCTTCATTGTGACAGAGGAGAGCGAAATGTCCTGTTCAGCCACCGTCTGCTCCAACTCAGCCAGACGCTCCAGATGCTTGGTGGTTGGCACCATGATAGTGGGCTTCTTCATCAGTTCCTGGACAAAGGATGGAGGGATCATTCAACTAAACACTTAATGCTGCTTCATACAAAGCCGAAACCTTCAGCAGCAGCGCGTGCAATATTACCATTATTGTGAAATGTTACTGTAACATACTTACTACTTAATACAATACGTATTGAAAGGAGACATCTCTGGATATTAATATGAATCTGATGGACTAGACTTTGCATTATTGTTGTTGTGAGCTTTAACTCAAAAAAGCCAAAGTTACGTAAGCAGAAAAAAAATCAGCACACAAAGAGAGACATGGATACATGCGCACCATTGCTGTCTGTTTAAAGCGGTCCAGGGAGGTGTCCGTCTGCATGTCCAACTTCTGATGCAACGTTCTCAGCTCCTCCTGGTGTCTCTTTATCATCTCCTCTTGGTCCTGGGATCAACAAGGTTTAGTTAAATGAAACACTTTGGACATAAAAAGTTTACCTTCTAAAAGTTGTATTGCTTTTACTCTAACGACAAAGCCAGGTTTCTAAATAGAAGAGGAAATGAGTGATACTTTTACAATTTCCAGGCTTCCCACCCATTGGAGATTCAAGGTATTCATAAATCCTAACTCCAACAGATACTGCAACTAATTACTGATTAAATGTTATTCACAAACCAGAAAATGCCTTCTAAAGACAACTTGATGCATTGAGAATTGTGTGTCCATTATTCTTCCTTGTATCACTGTACCTTTCTGGCTTGAGCCAACTGGTTTTGGTATTTCTTTAACACATCCTCCTTTTTGTCAAGTCGACCCTGGAGGTCTTTGATGGTCTGGTGAGCCAGCTTGAGGGCAGGCTGACTGTCTGACTGGCCCTCTTCGTGCTTGGCAAGGTCAGCAAGCAGGCGTTCTCTGTTAGCTGCAGCTGGGAGCCGAAGACGCAGCTCATTGATCACTTTATCCCTGGACACGATGTTCTGCTCCGCCTTCCACAGAGCTGCTTCTTTCTCTTTCAACTTCTGCATATGAAGGAATTAGAATACAAACAATATGCTATGCATTTCAGTTATGAGGAATACTAAATGTATGACCAGGGACGGAATACTATACCTCATCCAAACATTTGCAGGTAGCCTGTGTGTCCAAGATGGTGCGGACATGCTCTCTGATTTTACCCAAAGCAAACTCTAACTGATGAGCAAGAGGTAGATTCTGGTCTGGTAGGGATCCTGTTCCATCCTCATACTGAAATATAGGATGGAAAAATATAGTAAGACTAAGCTCAATCCTAAAATTGATGACTACATTTAAAAAAAAAAGAAGAAGAATCATGTTTTACTTGACGTTAATTTGAGCTATATATGATATATACATCATCACTGATTGTAAACATCAGTTGACCTTTTCCGCACTGCTTAGAATTTCATTCTGGTGCTTCTCGTACTGATCCAGTTGGCGCTCCAGCTCCACCTCTCGCTGATCCCATGAAAGTTGGCATTCATCTTTAAGCTTAACATGATAAAGAGAAGAGTTTTCTGCATTACTTCAACCTTGATTTATACCTTCTTCTCTTATACTCCAAAACCACTGACACGTTACTGTACTTAAAAGCTCCTTAAAAAGTGAGGTAGTGAAAATTTTGAGGTTTTCATAACTACACTTCTCTCCACTGTTTTGAGTCACATCACAATAATCCTTTCATAATGTGTTTGTCAGATGTGATGTTGACACACATATTTATGAATTTCTCTCTGCATATTAGAAAATGTTTTAGCATGTTTATAGATAGTTAAAAAAATGTCTCTCACCATGTCTTGCTGCACGGTATCTTCTTCCAGCAAACGGATGGTTCGCTCCTGTTCTTCCACAAGGTTCTTCAGGTACCTGATCTCCTCCTTCTGAACCACTAGCTCCCTGCCTTTCCTCAGCTCCTGCAAACGAGCTTCTTCCATCTTCTTGTGCCACTCAGTTACCTGTTTAAAGTTTTACAGTGGAGTGTTTTCAGCAATTGCAGCTTATGGGCAAGATGTCACACAAACAAATGAGATCACAATGAGTTATTCTACGATTTAAAAAAAAGTTTTATCTGCCAATCAAGTTGAATGACCTTCTGGGCTCCTTTCACATCCTTCAGTGTTGAGATGAGATCCTCCAGGCCTCGAAGTCTCAGTTCCAGTTCCTCCGCCCTGCCCTCTGCCCTCCTCCTCTCTTCCTCAGCCTTCTTCTTCTCTTCCTTTGCTTTTGCTCTGTCCTCCTGGAGGCTCACCATGGTCACAGAGAACTTTTCCTGCTGGGGAAGAGGCAGCGCTCCGGCAAACTGCCTACGTAGCGACTGGATGGTCTGCCGTAGGTGCTTGGCCCGATTTCTGCCCTCTTGGCGGGCGAGGAACAGAGTGCTCTCACTGGCGTCCAGCCGCTGTTCAGCACGCAGCTTGTAGGCCTCCAGCTGTTGGACGTGAGAGTTGGCTGCCTCCAGTTTGGCCAAAGCAGCTGACTCACTGAGTTGCAGAGCCACAATGTGCTGGTGGAGCTTCGCAACGAGGGCCTTCTCATCTGACTGCGACTGAGGGTGAGAGACGACACAGTGAAGACACACACTTAAAACTTTTTTACTCAACTCACCAATGTATGTAAGTGACTGCTACACAGCCAGGGTTGTTTGTGTTTTGATTAATACATTTCAATATAATTTATACCACAGCAATATTGAGAGGATGGTGATTAATGAAATTAATATGGGTCAGTTGTCAGTCTTATTAAAGTTATTAATGAACTCTTCCGAGATTCAATAAAGTTTAAGAAACAAATAATAACAATAAATAAAATAAAGCAACACCTAATTACCTGGTAGTCGAGTATTTGTCTCCTTAAAGCCTCTACTTCCTTCTCTTTGGACTGTTGTCTGGCCTGTAGAGCAGAAGCCTGCATCATGGCCACATCCGAAACCTCTTGAAGCCTGCACAAAAAAAATAAGATACACATTACATTCTTTTTTTTCTTTTGGTTGAGTGTCCCAGCTCACAACCAATATATAAAATAAAAGCTAAGGAATGCTCATGCATAACAGGAATGACAAGTTTTTCTTTCACAATCATTTGAAAATTTTCTTAACAGATAACTTCTTGATTAACGGCTGTAATCTCTGTCATGTTTTTATCATTTATTTCCAAAGTTATTCTAGGACTGCAAATGCAATCTTTAACAAAACGTATATATCATGATAAGAGCATAAATGATCTCAGGCCTGCACACTGTCACATACTTAGAAACCTCGATGCGAAGCTCAGCCTCGGCCTTCTCCAACTCTGCAATCCTGGCTCTGTCAGCGTCGCTCACAGCTTTGCTGATGCTGTCTGCCAGCTCATCTCTCAGCTCCCGCTCCACACTCTGGGCTTCTACATTCATCTTGGTCAACTGAAAAAAACCAGAGGTAACACTGCTTGATAAGATTCTTTAGATAAATGGAAAACTAGCCTAAACGTACAAGCGTTAAAACACTCATGTAGCTGAGTTGTATTGCTGTTTTTAGGGGTCATGAACCAAAATGTTGAGAGAGAGAGGAATTGAAAAAAATTAAAAACAGGCTCTGTATAGCATCAAAAACTAATCTGCATTTCAACAATACAAATTAATTTACTTCTTTACTGTAAGACTGTACATCTGCCAGGTAAATCCAAATGGCCTTTTACACTTGGCACAATGAATAAAAAATCTGTCACGTAGTCACATCACATAGACGCCCCAAACAACAGTAAATCTCAAGTGCATGACAGACAAAAACCAGTCTGCTGTTTTCCTTGGCCTCCTACCTCTGCAAACTTGGACTCCAATTCTAAGTTCCGTTCTTCCACCTGCCTGAGGGAGTTCCTCAATTGTTCATACATTTTGTGCGCATGCTCAGCTCTTTGCCTCTCATTCAGCTCCTTCATCTCAAGAGTGGTAATCTGCCTGGCGGCAGACACCATCTCGTTGTTGGCCAATACCTTGTCTGCCTTTCCCATGCTGGTTTCACCTCCTGATATATATAAAAAAAACAAAAAAACAATTTGGCATGAAATATTCAGTATTTATGGCGGGACCCGCAAACTAGGAGACTTTTGGCCCTGTGGGCAGCCTGTGACCTATGCCGCACCTATTGGTGTCAGCACATCCCAGCAATGTTATGTTGATAAGACTGATGGCCAGAACTGAAGTTCTGATGACTGTCTGATCAGATCGGGTCGCTGGTTTAGCTGCTTTGTAGCCTTGTATTATTACAACTCATTTTAAAAAAACATTACAGACTACTGGCAGTTTATAATTTTAGTATTTACATTCAAAATAAGATGAATATAACTGAATGAATACCAATTGTATTAATGTTGTCCCATGCTTGCTCTAAAGTATTCAGTTTCTCCTTTGTGATCTCCAGTTCTTTACTCATGGCAGAGATTTGCTCCCGAAGAGACTCATTCTCACTCTGAAAGGTAAGAAAAAACAGGGAATAGTATAGTGTGGTCAGTTAACAGCCAGAAATTATAAAAGGTGCGTATTGGAGGTGCAATGGATAAACTTGGAGAGTTAATGTGTTTTCATACCTCCAAATGCTCGAGGTTGGTGGTTCTCTGTATCAGACGGCTGTCCCTCTGTAGCATGTCTCTGTATTTGACTGTTAGCTCTGTATACTGTCTGTTAGCCTTCTCCAGCTCTGATGAGGGCACACTGTCATCCAAAGCTTTCTGCAGTGCTGCTATCTTATATGCAGCCATTCCCTTAAGAAAAAAGAAAAAGGAAAAGACAGCACAGTTAGGAGGCCAATGTATAGTGGTAATAGTGGCTCATGCGACTTTTATTTGCGATTTTTTAAAAGGAAATTACGGCGTTTGGCAATCTGGATGTTATTCATTTTGATCCATGTTTGCTACAATAGGTACAGTGATTTTCAGGGGACAACTTTATGTGTTAATTTTAACTCAACTTTAACCCGAGTCGATGTCATACTTTCTCAAATCTCTACAATTAAGGTGGTGACTAAAATGTTATCATGGCCAATAGTTACAATGGTCTCTAATAAAAGTAGGGGAATAAGACCCAAGTTGACAAATACCAGAATATCCGTGAAACAGTAGTCCTTCATAATTTAATGAATGAAAATAGAATAAGGATCAGTCAACTGGGACAAATGCAACAAGTCCATTTTTTTATTGGCCTTTTACGGATGTATATATTGCCCTTGTACATATTTTTCTTGTTTTTATATCTGCTGCTGCTTCAGATTCTAAAACTGGCACATACTTTCTACCCCTGAAAAGATATACCAGCTTCTGTCACTATATATCAAGATAAGTGTAAAATAGAAAACTTTCAGCTGATAGTGAGGTGTCTTTTGTTTTTCCACTCAAATGATTTAAGAAAAGCACCACCAAATTTCATTTTATGTATGATCTTTGGAGAGACCTAGCTGATTTACTCTAACCCTAAACTTCTCAGTTCAGGAAAACAAATATTAGGATTAGTTTTGCTCCAGAGTCTGTTGGTGGAGTTGAACATTTTGTACCTTGTATCTCTGCAGGTAGCCTATCCTCTGGGTAACAGATGCCTGCATTTGAATGCTCTCATCCCTCAGCTTGCTGTTTTCCTTGCGGAGATGCTCTTCTTGCTCCAGCAGGGTGGTGTAGCGCCGTGTCAGTTTCTTCTCATTAACCTTCAGCACTGTCAACTTGCGCAATACTTCGCTCAACTGTCTCTTGATTTCATCTGGGTCTTTCTGAAGGGTGTCAAGCAGCTCCTTATGGATGAAATGGAAAAGGGCTTACTCAAAACTCATCTTTAATTAAATTCTTTAGGAAAAAAACCCCAACTCACTAATAGGTACAGTGAAGGATACACATTACAATTTGACTTCTTTTCCAATGTATCTCATATTCATTGACTCATCCATTTTCATTTTATGTACCCATTTATTCATAAAAGGCACTGAGGGGGGATTTACACATGTTAGATTTTAACATGCGCAGACACAAGGGGTGTGGCTGAGGGGTTCACTTAGGAGTGTTGCATAAAGCCTATTAGGTTGTGTCTTTGTGTTCAGAAAGCTTTCACGGTAGTTACTGTCATAATACAGAACATGTGCAAAGTGCACTTTTAAGAGACTGGCAAGGGGTTCCTTTTCTGAGGAACATTTTAACTAAGGACCTTCTGGCAATGCATAACAAAATACTTAAGTAGCTTAGGGCAAACACGTTTTCGCTTATAAAATTGGAAGAAAATCCATTGTCTAAGGCATCCTTAGACAAAAACCTTTAAGGAAAACCTTAGCCTAAGTGGTTTTATGCAACTGGGCACAGGTCCTTCTTTCTGTGAGTCCAAGACTCTTAAGGGTTTCACTATCTCAAACTGCATGACAGTGAGTGGTGTATTCCCTTTATGTGTGTTTCACATTTATTCAGTTAGGTAATGGACAGACACACCACAATACGCACAAAGAAGAGTTGTGGTGAGATGTATCTGTGTTAGTGTACATCCAGGTTCATATTCTATGTTCTGAAGATAAAACCATCTTAAAGTATTGGTATATGTGAGTGGGGGTGAATGAAAGGCACATTTTCCTGTGCTTTGTGTTAACGTGCTACATAAATGCAGTCCATCTTGCAGCATTTAAGTATCATTAACCATTTAAATATTTATTTGTCTGACTTACTTTGAACTCTTGGATTTTAACAGCATCCACCTGCTTTTGCTCCTCCAGCTTGTTCTTCATCTCTGTAAATGTCTCTTTCTTCTTTTGCCACTCCGCCTTCTCACTGAGCAAAAAAACACAATAAAAATAGTTTAAAATTTAGCACTTTAGGTTGCAAACCAGCTATAACTGTGATTAACTTACTTGTTAACCCACCTTAGGTATTCTTTATAGAGGAGTCCCTGTTGGTGACTAATAACAGAAAACTTCTCTTTGTATTCTTCCAGTGTTCCCACAAGTTTCTTGCTTTTTTCCTCCTTGTTTTTGAGCTCCTAATAAAAATGAATATTATACATTTTTAATATACAATGAAGACATGTTGTTGAATAAATTTTTTTTTTGCTGAGGTCTTAAGAGGACAGTGACACTGACCTGAAGCAGTCGAACAGCGTACTCATTCAGAGAACTGATGACCTCAGTACTGCTGGGCCCCAGGCCCTCGGGGAGAGATCGGAGGATGACTCCACTGCTGCCTGACTTCCTTAGCAGCTCCAATTCACCTTCCAGTTGGCTCACCTGACAGATAAAGTGCACTTCTACTATCAGAGGTTTATTCTGAATAATTGTTTAGGACATCGAGCATTGATCCAGACTGCTAAGGCGAAAAAAGGAGAAAAAAAAACATAAAAAAGAGAAAGCAGTCTATCAAAATAACACTGGAGAACTGAAAGATAAGTTGTGATAGCTTTCTGGAGGAAATTTGTTGATATAAAACAAGGCTTTCCCCTGGCTCTGGTTTCTGTTAAACAACATTTATCAGAGATGTTGCATTGGTTTAAATATTGAAAAGAATGTAAGCTGAAAAGTTGAGACTTTGTTTACCTCATTTCACCTGTTATATGAAACAGGTGCAACACATGCTGAAAACACAGCAGACAGATTGTTCAAAGAAGTGTTCCAGTCATGCTTATTACTCTCAGAGACACAAAGCATGTCAGGCATTGCTGTTGTATCTATAAATCCTCCCATTATGTCAATTTGTCTTGTTAATTACTTTTATGTGAGACATTTATGCATTGTTTTGGAAAACATGGTTGTGACACACAGCTGTAAGCATTTGAAGTTGGCCTTGATTAACCACAGTTTAATAGCTGCTTGACTTTAAGTGACTTGACAAATCAAATTTAGACAAACCCTAACAACACTGCTTTGTTGTCTTGCTAAAGGATGGGATACAAAGATAAGAGATTAGCTACACGGGTTGTATCATGATAAAAAAAAACAACAACAGTCATGTTCTCTGTCATTTTCAGTCAACAACATCATCTCTTTATCTTGACATAACACAATTTGGATATACCTTTTCTTTGGCTCTGGCAAGCTGACTGAAGCTGCTGGTAGCTTCCTCCCGGGACGATTTCAATTCCTGCCTTAGTTCTTCATTTCTTCCCACCAGCTGATGTATTTGGGACTTGAGGTGCAGGGCTGACTCAGACTGCCCACTTGTGTTGCTGACATCTATAGCCTGTGATATGGGGGATGAGCACAGTAAAAACAAACCCATAAAAAACAACAAAAAAGTTAGATGATAAGTAAAAGACCTGTCACTTAATCTTTCAAAATGACACTGTTAACACCCTAGTAAAGATAATATTATATTTACTACTATGGCTTGAACCTGGTACTTCCTGTTACTTCCTCTAGAACTGGACATGTCTGATGTTGACCGCACCAGTGTGACGTCAAAGCCAAACAAACATCTTCTTCATTCGTCTCCAATTTGCCCTGCTATTTGGATTATCTAATGCTGGACGACAGCACGGGATGATCCACCAAAAGTTTGACTGCTCTCCACTTTTTTTTCTAGCTCACCGCATTTGTTGTTTATTAAGTTGCTATGAGACAAGCCCTCTGCTTCCTCAACTGACAAAAAACAATGAAATATCTACTAGGGGAGTATGCCCTTGGTTTTCAGCACAGCAAATCCAAAATCACTCAATACGGTGCAAGCTGAGACTGTGAGAAACATGTTGTAACTTTCTAGGAAAACATACACAAAAACATGTGATCACAGATTGAATTGAAGCATGACATATTCACTCAATCAGTTAGTGAGGAGAGCTCATCATTCATTGCCTAAATGGATATGTTTGAGGTTATACTGGCTGTATTAGGCTCAACATGCCATAAAAGGCACTCTGTGGACCAGAGCTGCTTATGTGAAGCTTTATATATAATGAATTTGTTAAAAATATAAACTATATAACATCATGTAAATAAAAACTATAAAAACATTAAATCAAAAAATATATCCAATGTCAATCTAGAAGCATACTGACTACATCTGTTAAGTTAATATAATAAAACAGTCGTTTGACTACAGAAATATGACCTAAAACTGCCACTGCTTCATCTACTGCTGGTACTACTGCTCATCCTATTACATGAATTACCTTCAGGGAAAGTACCCTTTGTGTCTGTGTTATCCTAAATTGTATTCAAATTCAATTAAGTTAAATGCATTTATGTTCTTGTGTGACGTTTTGTTATATAACAGCTCAGCTATTACAGGATCAGACAACAAAACAGGCTTTTGTTTTCCTTCAGCTTTAAACCTTAAACAGCTTTGGACCAGGAATATCTTACTAGAGATTTGCCAAAACTCATAAGATCTTTGATCTTGATTGATTACAGTGAAAACACATTCACTTTCCTGACAGCTCAACTAATGCACTCGACTCATGTCTTGCACAGCAGACACTATGACGTGTCACAGCAGGAAAAACACAGGTGGACTTAATAACCGTAATGACAGCCCAGTTCCTTTAAATGTCCCAGTAATAGTGAAGAGTGAACCAGCATGCACAATAGACCTTTTAGTAGGGTAAACACAGGTGTTACAGATGATGCTGATTAAGGTTTTGTCCCATTTAGTGTAGCAGAGCCTTTTCAGTGGGGCAACATGCACAATAGCAGCACCCTGTCTCTGTCTGACCTGAATGGACCTCAGCCAGACTTAGCATAATTGGTAACACCTGTGTTTGCCCTGCTAGTTCATGTCAAAAGGATTCCTGTCAAAATGTCTACGGCCTGGCCTCCCCCTCAGCGGAATGCAGCAATCATTAATATACCTGTTCCTGGTATGACACGTCAAAATGTCTGCTGTGCAAATAGACCATTATTAATGGTATGTTGAAATGCTGAAAGTCTAAGTATACATCTGATAATTCACTGTGAGGTGAATTCTTGGGGGACATAATGCGGAGACAGATTTCCTCATTGATCTATCATCATTGTTATTATTGTTCAAAGTTAGACTTGCATTCAGTAATACATTTTAGTGGCATTTGTTATAATTAAAGCCAGTAGTCTCAGAAAAGATACTGTAGAATCAAATACTTACAACCAATTCCTTCTTCTTTAAGAAAAATAAGCTGCTGGATCAATATCTACCCTGGTTATATTTACCACTATGTGCTGGAAAAGCATTTTCATTGTTGTTTTGTTTGTGGATGGACACAAATCTTCTTCCTGCAGGAGACACTGTTTAAGCTGTCTATGCTTTTTGTAATCTCTATATTTAACTTGAAGGTTTAACCGATATGTTACTGACATGGCTAAAAAAACAACAACACTGTGGCTATAAATGATACAGCTATCTTAAAAAGAAAAAAAAAAAGAGCGTTTTACATACAATCCTGCGCATGGGATACACTTACATTAGCCAGCCTTTCCAGACTGGGAAAATTGATGGCAGCTTCAGATGGAGTGGCTTCTCGGTTAATCCTCATGGCTCGAAGAACATCTTTCAATGCAGCCTCCAGGTCACTTTTCACTTTTGACAGTTCATCCACTATGATTTAACACACAAGAGCCAACAGTATCAGAGAAGCTGTGGCCTCTGATGTATTTAATTCACTTAAAAAGTATCATATTGTGAAAAACAACAATAATAATGATACCTGCATTACATATTCCCCTACTTTAAAGTTAAGGCCAAAATCCTCCACCCATGGAACTGACTCAACTGTAAAAAATCTGCATGTGAACTTTGAATGCAAATCAGACGGACAGCAGGGCTGTTCTTACATTTAATGTGAAACTGTGTCTTGTGAAGTTCCAGCTCTCTCTCCTTCTTGCTCAGTTCTTTTTCCAGGTACTCATTCTGCAAAGAAAAGTAAATGAAAACCTTTTAACCTTTCATCTAAAGGTAAAAAATGCACGTTGGGGTGTATAGACATTCCATAGAAAAAAAAAAAGTTTGATGTAGTGTTTAAATGCGAAATCACAAATGATTCAAATGTGTCACGTAACGATGAACTTGTGAAATATCCATGTATTACTTCCCCTGCTTTCTCTCTCTTCTAACTTTACTTTTTCCACTTCTTCCTTAAATTCTTCTACATTTTTATGGCATTTGCTTTCTTTTGTGTGGTGCATAAATCATGTTGCATGAACCAAGTCTCTCCAGAAAAGGGACATTTTCGGGACATCCAAACCGGACTACCCTGGACACCCCAGATAAATTAGAAACAAAAAACAACACTAAACCATGACAAATCATATTTTTGGTTACAAAACAACAAACCGTTGTGCTGTGATAGCAATTACAATCAGCTCTAAAATTGTAATCATGAGATTGCGCTTCTTTGAAACACTGGGCAAGGATTGAAGTCCCAATACAAAAAATTACATCATTAGCTGGGAGCTTACTTTGTGTCGGATCTCTTCATCTGTGTACATGCTGCTTTGCTTAAGTGGCAGCTGTGCAGTTCTGTTGGGTCCGACGTCCTCCTCCTGCAGCAATCTTGACTGTGGGATCCCTATAGACACAGGTGATTTGATACTAAGACTTAAGAAACAGCACAACCTGAATATTGAATCATTTTCAGAAGAGTAACAAAAAGCTAAAAAGACTACAAATGAGTAATAAAGTATAAGAAAACCAGGTGGGTTCACTCAAATTTTGCACGTTAAACAAGTGCGAGATCAAGTTTCGAGATATCTGCCTCTTACATTTCTGTCTCCTACCTAACACTATAGAGGTGATTGGAGTTTAATTTCTTACTCAGGGTTACACTGAGTGTCAAAATATTTCCAATAACACCCTTTATGGAAAGACATGTTGTCGCTGAGTGTTTTGAATCAATCATTGCATTGCAACATTGAAAAGTGATTTTATGATGCCGTGAACGCCACAAACATAAGGGGCAGAGGCAAAAGTGTCAAAGATTGATATCTCAAAAGATGTGCAAATACAGCCACAAATATAAGCACGATAAGATATCACCGGAGGTACTTGAAATATAAAGGGAATAGGCGGGACTCTTTTGTATTAATCAGTAATGGCAAATATCCCTAGGGGCTCAGACAAAATCAGGAATGATTCTTTGATTTACATATTCTGCCCTGCAACTATTCTGCCCACACATCACGCTAATTAAAACACCAAAAAGTTTTGTCTGAGATATCAGTAGAGATGCAATATCAAACAGACAATTGAAAACACCCTGAAGTAATATTTTATCTCATAGGGGGGAAAACATTGCAAAAGAATGTTAATAATTAGATTTTTGCGTCACCTCTCTTCACCATGGATCTGATTTGTTTCTTTAGCTCCAGTCTCTCCTCTTCAAGCCGTTCAATCTAGAAAGAAAAAATCAAGCAGGTGAGGTGAAAGGCGCTCAGAAAACATAGCAATTATAAAATAAGTGGTTATAGCCTTTGTAATCCCACTCTACCTCTTTAGTGAGGACTTGGTTTTCTGCTTTGTACTGGCGTTGTCTGAGATCTCTGGCTCGCCTGAACTCTGTCAGATCCACTTCCTGCTTTGGTTCCAGACCTTGGGAGTCATGAAAAAGACAGAAATAAACAAAAGTAAAATTCATTTCCCAACTCCAGGTCAGTCTGTGTGACTGAGAGAAGGGAACAGTAACGTTAAAAAAGAAAAAAAATCTGACCTAGTTTTTCTCGGAAATCCTCATTTTCGTCCATGAGGTCATTGATTCTCATCTCAAGCTGGTTGATCTCTTTGGTCATGGCCTCTGTCTCACGATCTCTCACTCTAATTTGATTTTTACACTCTTTGATCTCCACGATGGCTGCTTCCAGGCCATAAGTGCCCTGTAATGCAGAAACAGAGCATTGGTTACTCGTCTATTATAAAGCATGTTTTGTCTCACTTTCTTTATTTCCTTGTTTTTCAACTTGTACGCTTTCTGGGGAAATCAGGATGTAATTAGACATAGTGAAAGACAAACACTTAGCTTGTAGACGCAAAAAGCATGTTGATCACACCATAGTCACATAGTCATTTCAATGCCTCTATTAAAAGTGAGGATGGACAGGAAAAAACAAACTTTGCTTCTGGGAATTGAGGTCTCAATTAATTCGATTTGGATTAAAAGAAAATTGATGTAAGCCAAGAGTAAAACACAAAGGGGAAAGAGAGGGTATTTGTAGACTTACAGACTCGTACTGGCTCAAGCGGTTTGAAGCCTCAATGAGTGCTTTGTCTTTTTCCTCAGCATGAGCTTCTGCAAACTTTACCGCCTGCTCTGCTTCCAAGGCTCTGGTCTCTGCAGCTTCCAGCTTGGACTTCAGCTCTTCCATCTTTCTCTGCTGTATGGTCAATGGTTGGCCTTGGACAATTTAAAAGAAAAGATTTCTTTAACTGCAGACAAAAGTGACTCGTGTTTGTAGGATATTTGAATGTACTTTCCAGTTCCTCTAGTTCACTTGATAACAAGCATGACTAAACTTACATACTTAATTCAAGTTCACCTGTATTTAACAGCCACAAATATGTTAAATACAATAGTGCAATAATGCAATAATCACATCGCCACACAGCACATTTAGCACAAAATGTCACGACAGCTGAGTGTGCAAAGTTCTTCTAGTACTGGTGACTGGGGCTAATTTCTTTGCCTCGCCATTATTACTACAAATACTTGCAGTCCACAAGTGAGAGAAGAAAAGCTGATGAAAGTGTGTTATAGTAATCATTGTCTGACCTTAAGTTCATAACAGTTAGGAATATTAAGCAGTCATCCGCCCACCTCTGTCTTTCTTTGTGGACGTCTTTAGCTCCTCGATGAGCTGGGTGTGTTTCTCCATTTCCCCGGTATACTGCTCCACCTGCTCACTCAGCATCTTGATTTGATTATCTCTTTCTTGGACAGCCTGAAAATAATTTATGTGTAAGACCGAGCACAGCTGCAACATACTCAATTATCTGAACTTTCATCATCAAGGAAATTTATGAAATGAAAACTAAGGGAGACTGAGGATAAGAGGCATATGACAGATGAAACTTACACTGCAAAGCTCATATATGACCTGGCCCAGGGCAGCGATAGAGATGGAAGGGAGGACAGGTTGATGAAATGACATGGCAAGGCAAAGAGAGAAAGCCAAAAGTAGGAAAAGATAGATAGATCAAAGGACATGCAATGACAATCTAATCCAAGTCAGGATTCCCCGGTCCAAAGAATACAAATAAAGGCATGCATAAACAATGGCTTTCCACGTTGAAATTAGGATTTTTATCTTGCATATTTAAGTATGCAGGCAGTGGAAGAACTAATACTGCTTTAGAAAGCATTTAAATTCTTGAACATAATAATGTCTTGCAGCAATTACTGATATATTAAAGGACCAGTGTGTAGGATATAGTGGCATCTAGTGGTGTAGTTTCAGATTGCAACCATCTGACTACCACTGAACCTTAAAATGCTGTAGGTGGCCACGAAACTCACTAAAAACGTGAAACGCCCCTATCTAGAGACAGTATTTGGTTTGTTTCATCTTGGCTACTGCAGAAACATGGTGGTTTAAGATGGTGGCTTCTGTGGAGGGACCCCCTCCTTGTAGTTAAAAAAGAAGCTCATTCTAAGCCAACAAAAACTCAACAATTCCTACATTGTTGCCTTTGGTGTAAGTGTATCTTTCATGTGCAGTGCTTGAGTTTTTGTGTTCCCAAAAATGTATCAACACATCAACAGGCACCTCCATGGTAACATAATGGCCCACATTCTGCGCACCGCAATGACAGATGAGAAGTCATAGTACATAGATCAAGAACATTAATTCCTCCCCTCTTTTGGGACCAACCTGCTGCAAGGCAATAGTGTTGCTTTTGTCCAAGTCCAACTGGGCTGAACGCAGCTTTTCCCTCATATCGCGGATCATCTGCTGGTACACCAAAATTTCTTCATCCTTCCCAAAGAGCACTCTCTGTGTGTGAGAAAAAGATCATGTCAGCACAATGAAAGGCTCATTATGGTCTCCTAGAATAATTCAACAGAGAGCCAAACTCATTGACGATGGTAAAGTAGCAGAATGAACAACAGGAGCTAAATCAAGGAAGTAAATCCCTTACACGCAATGCCATTTGTGGTTCTACGACCTCCTTACAACTTGGCAAATTAGTTAAATAGCCAAATAAAAAAGTGGAGGTTGTTCGAACAACATTAAGACATCTTTGTAGTTGATTGATACAATTGGCCCTCTCTTTCTATTGTTCGAGTACTTGTTAAATTCACTACATAGTATGGTTCTGACGACAGTAAAACCAAAAGAAATTTCCACTTCTACTGGCAACAAGTGATGCTTACTCTATGAAGTTTTTTTTTTAAATTGCCTCGAGTGCCCCAGGCAGTCTTTCATTAATCAGTGACACCCAGTACAGCAAACTTCACTCACCCTTTAGTAAGTACACCCCCCAGATAAGGAACCTTTTGTAGGCAGGAACTACATCTAGAGTCCAGTTTCTCTGGTCAAAGGGCAGGTTAGGTTTCATAAAAAGTTCATTTAAAAATCTGTTTATTATAGGTATTTATTATTACGGGTTATCGGATGAGTTCCTGCAATAAAATGTATACTTTAAGTACATCTGGCTTTGTTGAGTTATAGACATTTGATGAATACCCACCTTCCACTCCTCCACTTTGGCATTGACTGCTGCCATTATTGGGTCTTCCTCCTCAGTCATGTTATGAATCTTATCCGTTAACTCTCTGACCTGCACATTAAACACACAGACGGAGCTGTGATTCACAGCTTCAACATTGCAGTCCTTTTTGGTAATGATAACAGAGTTCATGTATGTCATAAGCTTGCAGTTGAAAGATAAATGGTATAAAAGTAATTCAGCACAAAAATGTTTTTCACAAACCACCCACAGGTGTGAAAAGAATACAGAATCGAAAAGTAGTTTGTTGAGGAGTGTCCTTACTTGTAGCTTTGCATGATCCCTCTCTTTCCTGAGCTGGTCCATAATGGAGTCAGTCTGCCGTACAACAATCTTCATTTTGTTGTACTCATCTGTCATCTTTTCCATCTCCTTCACCGACTCCTCCAGACTTTTTTGCATCTGTTCATTCTGTGTCTTCAAGTGTAAGTTTTCATCCTCGGCTCGCTAATGGACACAAATGGGCGATAAAGAGCAGGTGATAAATACAGATGCCATAAAATAAGCAGTAAATGTTGAATGCAAAACTGATCGTGCATGTTTTTGGCAGCACAGAACTTAGGTTTTTCCCTCCACCAAAGGCCTTGGTTGTTCTGTGTTTTTCAAAATCTACAGCATAGTACTACAATGGTCTGTTACCTAATAGTAGACAAATGGATTTCCAAATACCTGAAGGTCTTCCAAGCACTGGTAGAGCTGGCGGTTGGCCAGGCTGAGCTTCCTCTGGATCTCAGCATTTTCATCTCTGGATTGCGCCGGCTGTTTCTGGTCCAGCTCTCCGCGATAGAAGTCCACATCCTGCTGAAGCTGCTCATTCTGTTGTGGTGCAGGAAGGGCAGAATTAGTCTCAGAAAAGGAAGTGGATCCAATGTCCTGTGGTCATACACTAATCTAGACACACTAAATTTGATAACAATTGATTATCTCTTTGGATCTGAAACTATTAGTAAACTAATAGATTACCTTCTGCTTCCATGAGGATATTAGGATTTCCCACCATTTGTTATATACGATAGTAAACTGAATATTTTTGGGTTTTGTCTGGGTACTATTCGTTTGACAAATTTGGTTAAAAAAAATTATTTAAAAAAAATTACCAATTATCTATCAATCAAGAAAACACTTCCCATGTTAATAGATAATAAAAATAATCATAGGTTCCCCAACATATTGTTCACTCTTAGGTAACACCCACACTTAAGTTAATAGCCATCAATGTCCAAATACTAGAAAAACTTCTCTGTGGCAGGTCCATCAGCTAGGATCCATGCTACACAGGCCAGAAACTGTTGGATGATAACAGTGGGATAACTCACTTATATACACTCTTTGGTTTACACTGTATAATGCTTATTTATTTGTTATTTGCATCTATCTACCTGCTCTGTATGTTATCTTACACTTGTTCATATTTTCAGTCTCTCACAATGTCTCTGCTTTTATGTAGTCCCATAAAAAGTTGTGTCCAAGTAACATATTAGTGATTCTACAGCAGTAACACATGTACAATAAGGCTACGTTCACACTGCAAGCCTTAGTGCTCAGTTCTGATTTTTTGCTCAGATCAAATATTTTGGCAGTTCACATTTTTTAAATGTGACTCATATCAGATTCCAGGGTGAACAGGTCACCGTTCTGAAGTGACCCGTAAGACAAATGTTGATCTAGAGTGAATTCTGTTGCATGAATTTTGATTCGACTGTTCACACTGCTCAAACTGCAAAAAATGAGACTTGTATGTGTTTTGGACCACATATGACAGTGGCCCAAATCAGAATTGAAAAGATCTGATTCCATGTGATTTGTGCTGTTGTACTGTCATGAAAAAAGTCACATATGAGCAAAAACGTCAGATTTGGGCCACTAGTGCCTACAGTATGAACGTAGCCTCTGTGACCAGCTGTAGAGACATTTTAAAATACTAGTATAGTACTCACTTTAATCTTTATAACTACAAACATTACTGAAGCACATCAAACTCATACTTATTTAGATAAACTGAAACATTTTACTTTACTACCTATATTTCTTACTTTCTTCTTCTTAAGCTTTTTTATCCAAGGCAGTGGAAGAGATAGAGATGAAAAGAGATGATGCAATTTGAGAAAGCATTCATATGAGAAAATGATGGCAGAGCACAGGAGACTACCGAAGTCAATCAAGAAAGATATACTGACGGAAGATGAAGCGATGAATGAAGAGATATTGCATGATGTCGTGCCAGCTGCCACATACCTCTCTTTTCAGCTTCTTGACCTTTTCCTCAGCCTCCTCTGCCCGAACGACCAACTAGGAAAACCAAACAGAGAGTACAAAATGCAGAAACACAGTGTGAATTTAACCACACCCGATACACAATAAACATGTTACATCTGCAGTAGCCTCTTGGCAGCAGCCTTGCTCCAGTGTACTGACCTGTGTATTAATCAATGGAAAGTGGCTTTAAAGTAGACAATGACTAAAGAGATGAGTGCAGCTAAAGATTAGTCAAAGAACTGAAAAATGTCATACTCCTAATGAACCTCTGAATTTAACAAAATGTTTGTTTTTTAAGGAATATCTGTTACTTAATATTCAATATAAATATAAATAAATTTAAATCTTCTATAGCGTGTACTAAGGACATACCAGCACAATGTCAACACAGTGTGTGCCAAGTAATGAATTAATATTTGTAGGTCAACCAAGGACTCAATACTGAATCCATAGTCCTACGCTGTGCATGTGAATTATGGGTAACGTGCTCATACCTCCCCTTTTGTTTTCTTCACTTTCTCCATTTCTTTCTTTAACTGGGTCAACTCCTTCTCCCTCTGCTCCAGCTGGTTCTCGAGCTGCCGAATCTCATCTCTCAGAAAGCGGGTATCTGGCCCTGTGCCGGAGTGCTGAGCCGTATGGACCGGAAACAAAACAAACACCCAAACAACCCCCATCAAGAAACCTCTTAGTCTCCCATCACCTCCATCTGTTCACAACACCAATATATGCATACACTTACATTAACGAGTCCTTAAACAAGGATTAGCATTCTCTTTGCAGGAAAAACTGTGGGAGTGCATGTTCTGATTACATACAAAACTTAAAAAATGAAAATAATAATCAAGTTGAAACTAGACGTAATGGATGTGAGCATGCAAGGAATTAGCTGTAATCTTCTTAGGTGCTGTTCAGTGGTCACCACAACCAATCCCTTTCTAGCTGGGGTTACACTCTATGATTGGCTGAAAGATTTGGCACTGTTGCCGGAAGTAAAGCAGCACGGAAGATGATTTCCAGTCAGACACAGTAATGTTTTTTTCACACTGATAAAGGTAATGGCAGTCATCCCAGTGACAAACCAGAACACCTCATTAGCTCAATGAGTAACATGTGACATAAGTGCTGGACGAAATAACAGACCAATATAACCCCTAACCCCTGAAAAGTGTTACCTTGCACTCTTGTTCCAGCCTTGATACCTTAGCGAGGAGTTCCTTTTCTACAGTACAGAAGACATGATCAACAATGTTAACGCCACAGTTTGTTTGCAAAACTTAAACATATGACACATTTTGACAACTACATTTTATCTGGGCACTAACCAATTTTAGCATGCTTTACGCCAATGTCGTCGATGAAGTTGAAGGAAAGATCAAGTTCCAGTTCCTTCATCTAACAGACAGAGGGAGAGAAGAAGATTATGTACAAAATGACAAACCTAAATGATTTGAATTGCAATATTTCAAAAAGCATATGCCACAAAAACAGTATCATGTGAATTATATAATAATAATTATTGCTTATTGGAATACATTCGAACAGATGGTGCATGGAAGAGATTATAATATGACAATAACAAGATTGAAAACCTTCAGCAGAGCCTGAAACACTCTGAGGACTTGAACAATGTTCTCCGGAGCTTTATCCTTCAACAGCCATTCTTCTGTCTGCATTGAAAACATGATTTATTATGAAAAATAATAAAATCCATAGTCATTCAATCTCATAATAATTCATAATAATAATATTCCCCTGCTACATTAAATTGTAAGTTTTCCTTGGACTGTTCAAAGTTCAGATGACAGCACTCACTTTACATCTGCATTAAGTTCAACAAGGACTTTAAGCAGATGTATGGCTACTATGTGAGAGATCAAAGCAATACAATGTGATTAATACATTTTGCTGACAAAGCCATTGAGCAAGGAGTCCTAATACCCCGAACAATAATCTCAGATCAGCAGGACAGTAATCTGTCTTTATGCAAGTAGCCATAACCATGGCTAAGTATACACAGCACCACTGTATTCAACTTGTAATTTAAAACCAGAGAAGGATTGGTGGTTGGGCTACTGAGCAGAAATATGAGCTGTAATTAATACTGGTGTGTAGTGTGGACAGTTACCGAAATGAACATGCCGACGAGCTCGTCCAGTTGGTCTTTTTCACAGTCCTGGAGGCTCACTGGGTTAATTTTCATCACTTTATCCCACTCAAGAGCAGCAGGCATCTTGGCCATAGCGTGTTTTTTAAAGACTTAACCAGGAATTGAGCAGACAGTGCAGTGGTAACTAGCTAACGTTAGTTAGTGTTAGCTAGCTAGCTCATTATAGTTAGGAAGCTATGGCTAAACGTCGATGTGCTCCTCAAAATTGGCATTGTTTCGCTTTAACGCTAACTACATTTGAGATTTTGTTTTGGTAACTAGCGTTATGTTGTGCGTTAACCGGTCTCCACAAAATTAAAAACAAAAATAAACTTCACTCGTTTATATAAATTAGCTAGCAAGACGCTGTGACTTATAAGTTGAACGTTCAAAACAAATATTTGATATTATTTAACACCGCTCAGTAAGATTAACAATATAGGCTACAGGTAAGTTATAATGACAGTAAACAGTCATCCAGAGGTTTCCATGATGGGATGCTTTGGCTGCTAGGTTACCACTGACAACAACAGCGCCAGTTAGCTGATTAAGATAGTCCACAAGAAAATAAAACTAGTAACAAAAGCGGCGAGTGGACCTTTGCAGGTAACTTTACCCAACTGTAGAGACATGGCGGCTATCAGACTATCACAAAGTACCAATATATTGCATTTGGTATTGACTGCATACACTTGAGTTTGTCAAACAGCACCGAGTGTAGCTTAGCTCACTGTAACGGTTAGCTCACTTGCGCGGTCACCCCTGCACCGGAAGTGATTGTCCTGATGTGTTGAAGCTAGCTTCCACAAGTGGAATGCCGCTTGCTGAATTGTATATTCCGTATGTGTAACCATTCCCAGTTTTTGATATCACCTCTGCTGTCACCGTCTGCCCTGTTATAGACACGGTAGGTAGGACGTTCAGGGAATACCTAAAAATACATCTGCATCCACCTTATTTGGTCTAAAGACTCGTACCATTCTAGTTAGCATTAACGTTAGCTGCTAAATTAGCTTTATCGCTACCCAACGTTATGTTGCAACTGCCTGTCTGAAATTGTCAGAACATGCTATTTGGGGCTTGTTGTACTTTTATATCGCCACGATCTTGCAATAGTAATGTTGATTTCATTCATTTAACCAAAGCTTGCCACTCGACAACTGTTTAAAGCGGCCAGTATTTACTATGAATGATTTTAGTTTTCTGTTAAGGTCCGCCCTTCATCGCTTCTGCTCTTTTGCACCCAGCGGTTACTGTACCGGTTGATTTTTCAACATCTGAGCTAATATTCCCACCCGTACTCTTACTTGTATGGTAATTTAAGTGTTAGTGTAGTATAATCCACATCCCAATCAATAAAACAGGGTGGCGGGTTAAAAGAGCTGAGTGAGTAGTGTGACCTGTGACAAGGAAGTAAAAGAAAATCAGAAGAAACACAATTGTTCATAAATCTTATCTTAACTTTCTTACTGTGTGAGGTTGTTTTACAAACGTATCAAACCACCTCCGGCATTGTTAGTACGAGTGAGTGGTTGCTTTGAAAATGTCCAATTAATCTGTATGAAAAGCTACTTGTTTTTTATATCTTGGTGGCAGCTAATGTTGTTGTAAATAAAACCTCTTTGTCTTCTTGTGCAGTGATCAATGACGGCTCTGTTGAGCCATGGCTGCTGTGTCATGGAAGGAGATTTTACTTTTGACTGGACTGGTGGTGGGATGTTACTGGAACAGTCTGTCATGTGGATTTGTGTTTGATGATGTCTCCGCCATCCTTGACAACAAGGACCTACGGCCCTCAACCCCTCTCCGCAACCTATTCCTCAATGACTTCTGGGGAACACCCATGGCTGAGGTTAGTCATGGTCCATGACACACCTCTGTGCTTTATCAGTACGGGCTTATTATTGCTAAAAGTAAAAGTGGTATCAAGGGGCAGTTTTATTTATTTCAATGAAATGTTTGTAGGTTGAGTGAAACTTTTAAGAAAATCAATTGCAACCTCCTCAGATTAACTTGACCTTTACGTTACTCTGAATTCAGTAAACATTTGTTACTCTTTTATGTCTCTCAGTCAGTCAATTGACCTGTATCTGACAGCATGTATATTGTGTATGTCCAACTACAGGAGCGGAGCCATAAATCTTACCGACCCTTGACAGTACTCACCTTCCGACTGAACTACCTCTTCAGTGAGCTGAGCGCATCTTCCTACCACCTGCTCAATGTTGTTTTACATGCTGTAGTATGTGTGCTTTTCCTGCGAGTGTGCCGATTGTTCCTGGACAAGACTTCCAGCTTGGTGGCAGCGTTGCTGTTTGCTGTGCATCCCATCCACACTGAAGCCGTAAGTGTACATTTGCTGGGTGAAGGCAAGTTATGTAATGTATGTTAAAGATAGATAGATAGATAGATAGATAGATAGATAGATAGATAGATACTTTATTTATCCCAAGGGAAAGTCAAGCAAAAAATAGCTAAAATAACAAAGCTAAGGTTGTCATAATACCAGAATTTAAACTTTGATATAATACTAGTATTAAAAAAAGATATCTGATCCCTCTTTCAGTACCACAAGCAAAAAGTAAGAAAGACTTATGCACAGTGCTGGCACAGAAAAAGTCACAGAACACATATTGAGAACCAGTTGATTTTCTTCCACATTGCTCCATCTGTGCAGCCTTGGCTGGAAAATCTGATTGTAGATCTGTTTTTTTTATAGCTTTGGTACTTTCAATACTATCAAATGAAAGTATTGTATTATTTTAGATATGTTGTATCGACAAAGGATTGATACTTTTAACAACCTTACATTAAACACTAGGGCAAGATTGAAATTGCAATCTCAAATGACAGTGACTATTGCTGCTGTATTTCCTGTTGAAACAATCAGATCAGTAAGGCATACATTTGAAGTTTAGTCAAATGGCCATTAGTTATAGATAAAAGTGAATTTGTGATGTTTATTGGTTGGAATGAACAGCCACTAGTGCAGCTTGAGGTCACCACTGAAGATAGACAGTTTTCTAAGAAGTCGATTTTTTTTCAGTAGTTCAAGCTGAAGTCTTTACACAAACTTGGAGAGCCAATACACCAGGTGAGAACTCAGTGATACTCCTTTTGACAGGAAAAGCAAACATAGTTTTGAAGTCTAAATTTTACATGTACATTAGGTGTAAAAGAAAGCCTGTAGTGTGCAGTATTAGCTATGTGTATATGTCCTCACTGAACATGGCAGAGGGATTAGGAAATAATTTGCTTGCTTAAAATACTGTTCTAACATAACAGCCTCAGCATTGCTCCAACATGCCCACCAGCTCTCTCTGAAGGGTGGAGCATCATAGTCAGACATTGCCTCACCTTTTCCGCTTCTCAACAGGTGGCTGTATTTATTATCTAATCTATCATCTACATGGATCAATACTAGGATCAATACAAAAAAAAATTCCCTACCTACCATTAGAAACCACATCAAAATCAATGTGTGTTTTTTTTCTTTAAATTACATGACACTGTAGAACTGTCCACATAGCATATTGTTAGATCCTGCCCTTATGGCCTGCTGTGGGTGTGGCCATACCTTATCCAACATATCCCCTCCCCTCTTTGTGGGCTGTGTTTACGTGGATGCTTAAGGGACTTATAAAAAGATTAGGGCAGTTCCAGTTACTGTCATTTAAATTATTTCTGTTTGTAGAGCATTGGTTGTCAGTCTTCTTCTTCTGACTATGGACATTTCTTTGTGCTGCATTTTAATCTTTCAAAACTATTTATTTTTTTAAACTGAAAGTTAGTTGTTACAGCTGTTTATCGTGAATACTATCGGGACCACACTGTTTATTGAACTTGATCGGAAACCAAAACCCTTTTGCTTATTGTTTATCATTTAAACTTGATCTCGTTGTCTTCTATAGAGCCTGCCTGAAAAGCCTCTTCCCCAATTAGGACTTGTAATTCATCCTATTCAACATAGCTGAACTGATGACCAGACAGGCCCTGACCAGAGTAGAAAAACAAAGAAAACATTCTGCTTCTTGGGGTGGAGTGCTACTGTTACACAGCATGCACCACTGCGCCAATCTTCCTCGTGGTGTTCTCTAATCTATGCAGAGTCTCTCAGACTTCTTGAATGGAAACAATTTGCCTCACAAATGAGCCCTTAGAGTTAGTCCAGCGAATGCCCTTCATGTTATCGCCGTCTGGAATCTCTCTCTGAACGGATCATTTGTTTTTGAGTTATGCTCCAAGCACTGAAGGTCCCTTCATGATAAGTGCATACAAAGAGTCCTTGTGTGTCCCCATGTCTTTCTCAGTGTCTTTTTTGGTTATGTCTCTCTTTTTTTTTTTGTATCTCCAAGCATCTTAAAATACAAATTATTTAGTGTACTCAACAACAGTATCTTAAGGGTCTAAAAGGCAATTAGGGGAAAACACTCATTGAAAGGCTGTCCCCCGAACACTGTACAGACAGACACATACAGAAAAGTCAGAATAATTCAGCCAAATTGAGCTAACTGTTGGCAGCTTTTCTAAAATATTATTTGATGGAATGACAAGGCAATTTTAAGACTGTAAGCAGATGTAAAATCAAAGATCCTCCCCCACATTTTTGTTTCTTCAAAGAAGAATAGGACTAACCAATCTGTGGCATTTGTTATTTCATCATCAACAAACTTACACAATTTATCAAACAATATAAACCTCTCTTTGAGAAGTCGATACTTGTATGCAAGAGCACTGTCAAGGAATGTGTTTGCTTTTTTATTTAAGTCTATTGTGAAGTAATCTTTATGAGTATTGGTTATCCCTGAGATTAGATGGTTCTACCCCCTCACATTGTCACTCAAAATGCATGCCTTTTGTAATCCCCTCTTTTACGATCATTCAAGAACTTCTTACCGTTGTGTATCCACACTTAACGTTCACCTTTTAAGACAGTCGATTAATCAAACTTTTAATATAAATAACATTCATCTCTCCATTCAACCCCAGCTCAAGATCCTGGGCTAGATTACAGAAGGGCCTTGTAATCAACCAACTCACATTTCCTTTCTTTTTATCCCCTTTCCAAAGAAAGACCTTAAATTTAACTACTGCTTTTGGCGTTTAATTTTTTAATTTTTTATGAGCTGTTGCTTGCTTATTCAGTGAGCCGTTTTTCAAGTGTGCAGGCGTGGAACACTTCTGCATCCACAGCTGGTCCACAGACACCAACATGTACTGTAGAACCGCACAGGCAGACTGTCCGTGTCCGCTACTCATCACATTAGCAACTCAGTTCACATTTTCAAACAAACAGTAGTGTTTAAACACAACTGTTTGTGGTTTAAAAACAATAAAATAATAGAACCATTTTAAAAGTGGGGCGAAGACTAACACGATTTTCAAAAGGGGGGGTGTAACCCTCTTGTAATCCTAAGTGTGATTCTTAAGGGATACACGCCAGACACAACAACAACACAACTCTTCTTTTGTAAAGTCCTTTGTAGAACCCTTTGTGGGACCTTATGTGTGGTTTTAGGGTATGTCTATTACTAAAAACTCAGGTCTTTGCTTATGGTAGTAGTAAGAATGTTATTTCTTCCACACGAGGGCAGTCATCATTTACACAAATGACAGACGCTGCTGTCAGAGAAGCTGCTTTACCGAGATGTATATCTGCTTGCCATATGCAGAGATGATTTACTTGTTTTCACAGCTGGATTCTATGGCTTAGACATGTGGACTCTGGTTACTCCCAATTGTAAACACGTGTGTAATGTTCTCAAAGAGATTAGAACATAGCGTTGCTGTCTTTATTTCTTAACCTAAGGTGTATCAGGAACATCCTGTTGTGGGATCTGCTACTGCATTTCTGTCACTGATAGTTTCCCACACATTGAGGATTTATTTGTGGTGGTCGTGACCCCTGGGGAGGGAGGGTCATGTGCTGGTGGGAAGCTTGGACACATTTGACACTTGAGAGTCCATGGCAAAATACCATGGCATCCATAAAGTGTTGTCTTATCAGGAAAGTAATTTTTTCAGTCTGTATGAATGAACATGCTCTATTTTGACTTTTGAATTAATTTACAGTTTAACCTGCAGCCCAATTAGACTTAAAATGAACAAAATGATGAATGTAAAACAGTATGGATTGAGTGCAGTTCTGACTGCTGTCATTTGTTAACATCAGGTCACTGGTGTGGTTGGCAGAGCTGAACTTCTCTCTTCAATCTTCCTCCTGGCTGCTTTCCTGGCCTACACTAAATCCACAGGTGCAGACCACTCCATTGGTAAGTCTAACGTACCTCACCAGTCTGTTTATTTCGCAAGATGTTCTAGATTCTTGTCCTGTCAGCTATTAAGACATTATTGCAAACTTTCAAGACAGAGGCGGGAAACAAAACCAAAATGTTCTCAATCCCTCAGTTTGACAACATTTTTGCAATAACGCATTGAGATATCAACCTGAAACTCAAGACACGTGTTCAGGAACGTTCACTAAGCTCACGTATTGAAGCACATGGTGCGTTGCCTCTAGGGGGCGCCCCAAATGCGAAAAGGTTTTTATCTCTTAATCGGCAGAATGGATTTGTATGAAATTCAGTTTGCATGATCTAGGGTCATGACTCAGTCAATGAATGACATTTGGTAATTATTAGGGACGTCCTGATCAAGGTTTCTTAGCCCCCAATCCGATCCGAGTCACTTAACACAGGCTCTGCATTTTTTTTTTTTTTTTACACAAAAAAGTATAAATTAACAAACCGTCTTTTGGCCTTGTTGCTGTCTGGAGGGAGTTTCTCTCTCCAGTGTTTGGTGCTTCAGTGCAGCTTTTTCTGAGTTACCTGAATGAACTGTCTGTATTCTGTTGAGCGTTTCTACATATTTTTACTCTAATTGGTGCTTTTGTTGCACTAGCTTGAGTGTGGTTGTGTTGGATCTCTACCGCTCTCTCCTCCAAGCGCAGGCAGCCCCGCTCACGGTGGAACTCGGCAGCGGGCAGAGCTGCTCCTGCTCTCTCTCTCACACAGAGCCGCGTGGAGGAAAGAAACAGAGAGAGTTGATGGTGGCTGCACAGTGCATGACAGCTAAAAACCGCTGTGTGACAGCTAACGTAAAACAAAAGATCGGATCAGATCAATAAAGCTTAAAATAGCTGATACTGATCAGATAAAAATACTGAACATTGAGATCGGATTGTAACATCGGTAGTAATAATTAAATGAAGTGGGCATTACGACAAATCATATTACAAACAAAAAATGTATATAAATCACTCGTATGTCCTACAGAGCCTAAATAATGTGAACGCTTCAGTATGATTTACCTGATTATATGAGACAATTAAACTTTCAGGTTTTTTTCACAGTTCAAACTTGCCTTTATTTCACAAATACAAACAAGCAAAACAACATAACACTGATTTGGTTAGGTTGCCAATGTGTACATACATGTGTAACCTGTGTGTTTTCAAGTGCCTGTTGTCGCAACCCACTTGGACCCTGATAACTGCCTCTTGCGGCTATATTGTTAACATTGTTGTTAATTTTACTGTCTGTTTCTGCAAACTCGGGGTGTGCTGGCCACCATCTACTGTAGATAATACAGTACAGACTATGGATCTATGGAGTATTTCATACAGCAGTGTTTTCATTCTGTAGCTTGGCTTCTACTAGTGCGAGTTGTTGTGTCGCAATCGCCTGCCAAATGTCTGTTAACACTGTTTTGTCAGCACTTGACAGCTCTTTTAAGTTTTGTTATAATTCAGAGGAGGAATCTTCTGAAGAAGACCTGAAGGCTGAAATCTGCTCTTCCTTCCCAAATTACATGGTCCTGTCTCAGACTAAATCAATTGTCACTTGAGTCAGGTCTCATTAAGTCAAATATTTCAAAGTTTATGACCAAGATGTTGCCCTGAATTAGTCAACAAAGAATTACAATGTTGGCATTTCTAAGTTTTACAGGTACAAGTTTTAATAGGATGATGGATGACTGGCAAATAGCGTGCTGGGCTAATGCAAAATCTATCCATATGACTTACTTTGTACTGAGAAAACACACAAGTTTAATGCCTGACTGCTTTTATTTTCACCTATTTTTTATTGGTCTAATAAAGTTCAAGTTGTCTGAGAGTGATTGATGGCCGGCTATGTGCAGATGTTTGAATATGTGATACTTTCTGACTCCACGTGTTGATGTGGATTCCATTAAACAATGGATTTTGGAAAACTGAGGGATATCATTTGGATTAAACAGGTCTTTATCTATAACTTTGTATATCAAAAAGGTTGTCTGTTATTTATATATATTAATTTTTTTTTCTTTCAGTTTGGGCTCCCATTGCTCTGACAGTTGTTCTAGTGGCTGCAGCAACCCTGTGTAAGGAGCAGGGAATCACTGTCGTCGGCATCTGCTGTGTCCATGAAGTGTTTGTTGCGCAAGGGGTAAGTGGGAAAACTGGTGACTCTTTGTTCCTATCAGTCACGCCTGCATCATCAAGGCATGGCTGGCTTTTTGCCATAGAGTTTTTCTTAAGCATATGTTGAAAGGTTGTCTTTGCACACAGTTGCATTCTTGCATTCTTGAATTAAATCTAAAGTTGTGCACTGTAATGTTCATTTGTCCTGTCTGTCTCCTGTTGTCACTCTCAGTTTACCTTGCCTATGCTGTTGGACACACTGCGGCAAGTCCTTCAGGGTAAAGACGGTTTCCCCTACGCTGTCCTACAAACTCTGCTGAAGCTCATCGTCCTCGTCATCAGCACCCTGTTGCTCGTCATCATCAGGGTCCAAGTCATCCAGTCTCAGCTTCCTGTCTTCACCAGGTAGGCAGCATTATCCTGTCAGCTGCAACACAGTTCTGCTTACAGTAAATTGCTTTGCAGTTTGTTGACTGCATGTCGTTTTTATTAGTGTATTGAGAATTGATTTTACAAATCAGATATACTAATTACTTACTTTTCACTGTAATTATTAATGCTCCAAACAACGTGATGTGATTATTTTAAGGAAATTTCAGTTAGTTTGCTGTGCGTTGTAGTTAAAACGTCAAGTTGGTCCAGTTTTTAAAAAGTCTAGCTCTACAGCTGCTGAGTCTTATCTTCACAAAAGGAAAAGACATTTGTAAATACTAAAGGGCAGTGCAATACAGTCAGAGTCATGGTTCGAATGTAAATGGATTGCAGGATTATAAACACATTATACTAATCTGGTTCTTTGTTTATTTCCGATTATGTAATAGTTTACATAATGTCTTTATTTATTCGATTAAAGTAGAAAGTCTTCCCATGGCTTCTGACTTCCTGCAGCTGATGGATGGGACTAACAGGCCTACATCTATTCTGTAGTGCATAGAGCTCTGCCTGAAAATCAGTTACAGATACATTTGCATTCTAGTTGCTCTTCAGTATAGCTCTAATTCCTAACAGTTGTTAGGAGTTCAACAGAGTTCAAACCTGAAAACAACTAAAAATACTCCCTGTAATCCTCTTACATGAGAGTGAATTTAAGAAGAGAAAAGCTGGTGGGCTTTTTTTAACTTTTGATACCGTGCCCCCTTAATGCATGCTGATACTGTAAGGCAAATATATGTGTTGTTTAATATGTATGTTGTTATGTGATGTTTATGGTGTTGGTGGAATTGACGGTAAGATTATTATAACTGCAGAGACATTTTATAATTAACAAGATAGGTTCACAGAGCTTGTGGAGGGCACAGGATCTCTTCTTGCTCATGACATGTACCTGCTGTCCTTTGCATGGAGGTCAGTGCAACCCTTTTCTGGATCTCCACACAGACCCTGTGTGTAACCAGATCTGTGCTGTGTGTACACCTCAAAGGGCTTAAAAGACACATATCTGCTCATATGGAGGCATACCTGCCATAGGTAATAGTTTCAAAGGAGAAATTCAGTACATGACTAGTGAGAACACTATGCCAATGGCCAAATGTTAATAGTTCTATTGGATTAAGTATTTATTGGGTCTAGACTATTTTGAAATTCCCTGTACAGGATTCCACACAGACTCAACCTAATGGCCTTTTGATCGCAAAGATAAAATTCCAGACAATTAGCCTAGATGTGCTAATCCTCTAGCCGTAATCCTAAAGATGTCTCCGGATTGTCTGAGAGAATTTCTGTGTCAAACCATAACAATATTGCATATTTAGATTATCACCATCCCGGTTGCGATTAGATTTCCAAAGAGGAGGAGCACTTGGAAACTAAAAGACGTCTGGACTACCTGGTGTAACTAAGCAGTTTAGATACAAATACAGAGTGGGGGTTCTTACCTTAAACACCAAAGAGAGACAGATCATGAGTTAAAGACGTAAGGCTGTATAGACACAACATGTTCATGGAGGACAAACATATTTTAGAATGCTGCCTTTTTTTCTAAGATTAAATGTTTTCTTTGTCACAGCCCTCATCGGGTGGGTCATATATTTATGTGATTACAGCTCCATTTATTTTCAAATGTTTTTGTGCCGTACTAGTAACATCGTCAATAATTGGTTAGTTGGTTGATTGTCCACAACTACTGTCCAGAAAGCCAAAATCTCCATTTCTTTTAATTTAATTTTTCCATCTAAATTTTCAATTTAGCCTTTCCTTTGACATTACTAAAGAGAAAAACAGTGCTGGCTTAGCCTTGTAGCCAAGCTGCAGGGTTTTAAAAAAGGCTAAACAATGAGATTTCATCTCCCAACTGGTGATGTTGGGATTATGGTTGTTATGAGGGGCTTTGGATCCTCACCATGATGAAAGAGAGTGTGAGGGTATCCTGTACCAGATTTAATATAAAAAATGTAAACAGTTAAATGCGTCAGTCCGTCACACCGGACGTGAACGTCTGTAAGAAACCTAGTATAACTTTATAAGATGTTGATAAGGACAGATGGATATATAGATACAAGATATAAGATTGACTATTCTATTTCTTATTGCCTTACACAGGGTCGGATTTGGTCGGTTTCTCCGACCAAATAACTAATTTTATGACTTCTCGTTATTTGAGATGGATGAGTGTGAAGACAGCAGTTCAGGTTGTGCAAAAGATAAAGATACTATTATCAATGAATACATAAAATATGTATTCATTTTATTCATATCACTGTATTTGATATTTTGTAGACCTATATACTTATCAGACCTAATGTTACTGTAAAATAAGACTATATCTACTTAGATCATAAACCAATCAGTCATGTTTAATCAAATTTGGTGCCTCAACACATTCCACTACCATGATGAAATATTATTTCTATTTCATTGGACTGCTAGTGCATTTACACTGTTTTTACAGTTACATGCACTATGCCATAGTCTGGGTAAAAAGCCATTCTGAATTAACCAACTACGCTTGATTACATTAAAGGGCCAGTGTGTCGGAAATTAGTGGCATCTAGCGTTGTAATTGCAAATTGCAACTCCCTTGCTTCACCCTCCCTTTTCGCAAGGGAAAATCTACGTTGGCCACAAAACATACGAAAGACGCACATGGCCCGATCTAGTCCCATTGTTTGGTGTGTACCTCGTGGGCTACTGTAGAAAACAGACCCACGGCATCTGTATATAAAAACAGCTCATTCTAAGGTAACAAAAACCTAATGATTCTTATATTCAGGTGATTATACACTAAAAAACATAGTTTTGAATATTGTATTCCATTTATGCAAATAGATCCTCCTTATTGTTACACACTGCACCTTCTAAACGCTTCTAAAGTTGAAAATCCCAAATCTCCTTCTCCCAAAAGAGAATCAAGGGTAACAATGTCCGATGTGTTTTATGGGGAGTTGTCAGTACATTGTGACTTGTGCTTTCCTGACACTGCATGTTTAGGTTTTGCCTCCTTGAACCTAGCCCCTCAACTGACCAGATCCAATCAATGTGTTCCTTTAGTTCTGCTCAGTTTACATGACAAAGGTCCATTTTCAAATACATCACACACTGCAGTGTTTCCCTGCATATATAAACTGTGCTATGCTTTATCAGATTAACTTCTTCTTCTCTGTGTCCTCTCTTCTAGATTTGATAACCCAGCGGCAGTCAGCCCCACTCCCACTAGACAACTGACTTTCAACTACCTTCTTCCTGTGAATGCATGGCTTCTGCTGAATCCCTCTGAGCTCTGCTGCGATTGGACTATGGGCACCATCCCTCTGGTGGAGTCACTCCTAGACCTTCGTAACCTGGCCACGCTGGTGTTCTACACCACCCTGGGCCTGCTAGCTTACCACAGCCTGCGCTATAGACACAGCTCTGCCAGGACTGTCATCATGGTGAGAGGAAGTTTGGTCAAATTATTCCAATGCCTTTTAATAATAATAATCACTTTTGGGTTAGTTACTTAAAATGAGTTATTAGTTACAGTCACTGGTTACTTCTTTAAAAAGTAATTAAATTACTTTAGAAATGACTGCATGTAAAAGTAATTAGTAACCTTTGCATTACTTTTAAATGTCTGCCTGAATTCTCTTATTTATGCACACAACTGTCAGCCATATTATTTTAGTGTTGCTCTGGGACAAATGTATCTTGTTATTAACACTCCCGACCAGCAGAGGACAGCAACGAGTAGTGTTCCTGCCTGTAAGCTACACTTATTGTCTTGGTTAGTAAACAGGAAGATTTAATAGAAGAAGACTAATGCGGATGTACACATTAACTGAACTTTGCTACCATAGTTGGTTAACAAACAATAATATTTGATGAACAGAAAGCTTGGGCCACCGAAGGTCGGGCAGGGTGACTTTAGATCATAAACTGGAAAATATAGGGGATATGCTTGGCTATGTTTGCTGTCTTGTAACAAGTAACAAGCCCATTTAGATTTCAGTAACTGTAATCACGCTATTTATTTACAATTTTACAAAAAGTAATTTCATTATTAATTAGCACCAAAAAGTAGTGGAATTACAGCAACGCGTTCATTTGTAACTACCAACACTGGATATAATCCGCGTGGTCACAATTTACATATCGTCAACAAAGTTCAGAGGTCAGGCTGCTGCATTACTTGGTATGCTGTAGTCGTGACACCGTGTGCGTACTTGTTGATGTCAAGGGGAATTGGCCAGTGCTTCACAGGATGTTATGGGAAGATGAAACAATGCCACACTGTGACAAGTGACACATGACCGCACATGACACGTTGAATTGAGAAAAGTACAACATTGCTCAGTCCACCATCAACTGTGTATACCTGACTCAAGGAGCAACAGCAGCACCTGTATCAAGGTTGCAGAGCATAATATAATTAGAGGTACATTGTTCTATTTTGTAAACATCTGTCGTATTTTCCTTCCTTGTGAATCAAATGAGGAATGAGGATTTTTTTTTATTGTTTCTTACCGTCTGGAACTTTCACATGGTTTTTCAGTCCCTTACTATCATGGGTATAATCACCCTGAACTACTGAGATTGGGCTGAATAGCTGCATTGGATATAAATAGCTCAGAAATGAAAGAACTCCTTTTGTGTTTTTTTAACCCTTATAAAAAGATCATGCCATATAAGGGCAAGTGGTTCAGTTTAAGTGGTTTCTTGTATTCACCAGCCACATCCACTGTTTTACAGAAACTGCAGATTATATTTTATCCTTCTAAGCTGTATATTTGATCAGAGCATCTTAGCAAATGATACTTTTGTTAGCGTAGGACGAGTGTACCATTATTTGTTCTTCACATTCTGGTTTTTATTGATAATATAGCTCCTGTGATGTATGTTACATTTCATTGTTGAATCACTGAGACAAAATCAGTAATGCAGAACAGTCTTATCAGCTTTATCATTAAAAAAATATATATATATCCAGCACAAACGAAGAGAGATACAACATAAGCTCTTACTTAAGCTTTGAAGGAAGGAATGAATGAATGATTGTTCATTGTGGCACACAGAAACAAATTAGCATTTGTTGTGCAACAGGCCCATGGCTCTCTTACTTGAAGGTCAGTAAACTTTCTTACAGTATTGCTCTTAGCTTCAGTTTAGAAAAGGGGACCACAAATCAGCACAAAATAAACTATTTATGACCTTTGTGGTGTTTACCCTGGTTTGCTAAGAGCTTTGTGGAATATGTTTCATAACAATATTGTACCATATCAAAGCTTCACTGCAAGGCTGCCAGCTGTCTCAATATGAGACACATTAAATAGTTTTAGAGAACAGTTTTCAACTGAAGAGGCTCTGAAGTGCCTCATTTTTAGTTTCTTTCACAGTTGGATATTTAAACTCTCATTTATTTTATGCTGAGTTATGGACTCATCAGTATACTTGACATTGTAACCCAGACAGGGACAGAAGTCTGTGAGTTTTCCCACCACTGTAACCGACAATACAGAAGTTAAACTTTCAGTGGGTTGTATTTGAGTTGTACTGCATTGATCCTTGTGGGTACATTTTCACCCATGCTTTTGAACTATCCCACCTTTTAGGGGGCAGTCAGCACACACGCAGGGACCATCTCCAGTTCTGAGAACAGTGCCTTTTGTTGAGAGGGATGGCAGGAGTTTTTATTACATGCACGTTTTGGGGTGGGAGAAAATTGCCAACGATACTGCTCAATATATATTTTAGAAATAGAAGATAGAAGATACCTAAGTAATTAGAATACAAGTAATTATTTTCCACTGCCACTATCCCATATATAAAAACCATGCAACTCCCACAACAGGACATTATATAATAACCAGATTATTGCCTCACCACTGAACATCAGTGGATTTTTCATGTAGACACTTATTGTGAGTAACAATTTTAGAAGCAAATTGTAGGACTGCAACTAACAATTATTGTTATTATTGATTCATCCACAGATTTGTTTCGATTATCCCTTTGTCTACAAAAGAAATCAGGATCAGAAAATATATTTTAAATAATGCCAAGAGCCCAAGGTGAAATCAAATTAGAAATAGCTTGTTTTGTCCAACAAAGAACAGCTGCAAATCCTCACATTTGAGGACCTGGAACCAGTTCAAGAGATTTTTCAAACTAATTGCCAATCAGTCAACCATTGACAAATTTTTTCAGCCCTAGCCTGTCTGTTACACATGTTTAAGCATGAACTTACTTACTTAACCGCAGTTACAAGTGCACTGAAATGAGAAGGCTCATATGGACTGAGGTAATATCTGTCTTTCTCCTTCAGGCCCTGTCTTTGATTGTCCTGCCTTTTATTCCTGCATCCAACCTCTTCTTCCCTGTGGGTTTTGTTGTGGCAGAGAGAGTACTTTATGTGCCCAGTATGGGCTTCTGTGTTCTTGTTGCACATGGATTCAAGATTGTCTCACAAAAAGGGTGAGTGTTTGTCCAAAACGATGTTACTGCCTTGAACTATAATCTGTCTATGATCCAAACATAATCAGATCACTCACACCCCTCTGCTTCATGGAAACAGAAATAGCAAAATACATGATTTATATTTTTGTGAGCACATTTTGCTCAAGAAGCAACTGTTACTACAATGTACAAAGTCATAGCTGTTCATTTAAAGAACACACTACACCCTAATATTACTCACAAAATAATCAGGTTCTCTTACACAAGTAAGTATTTGGGTTATTGTATTGCCAAATCAATATACTTAATAACTGTTTTAATTTTACTTTGCAGACACTTGAAGAAGATTTCCTGGTTGATAATTGGAGTGCTGTTAACTACACATGCAGTGAAAACGTTCAAAAGAAATTGGGACTGGGAGTCAGAATATACTCTATTCACCTCTGCCCTCAAGGTAAGCTGGAAAGAAAAATTAAAGGCAGCTTTGCCAGCGTATTTTGGCCCACCATGCCTGTTTGTACATGTGGTTTTCAAATGTGAGAACACATCTTTTCTCACCTTGTGATAAAAGGCCTGAATAAATCATGTTTTCTGAATGATGATGATGTTGATGGATTGGTCTTTACAAAACAAAACAAGCTTGTTGTCACATTTCCCATGTTGTCTGCCACTTAAGGTGAACAAGAACAATGCCAAGTTGTGGAACAATGTTGGCCACGCTCTAGAGAATCAGAACAATTACGCAAAGGCACTGCAGTATTTTCTCCAGGCCACTCGTGTCCAGCCAGGTAAGAAACATAAATCAGTCATTCATAAATCCCAAGATTTTGATGTTCGTGAATGAAACGATGGTATCGCAAATGTGAAGGAAATTCTTCTGCCAGGGCTTGTCAATTTTTTTAACTGCATTAAAGGTCATACTGTGAGATTTCTCATAATGTTTTGTAATGTTGGCAATTTATCACCTGTCAAACAATCAGATTTGAATCTGTCCTACCAGTTCTTTGTAACATACGTGCAGACACCTGGGAGCTAGACCACATAAAATAAACATCTTGCAATACAATGACCCTGCTGTAAAATACTAATTTGTTTTTTGAGACTGTCAAATGTGCTTATAAAACTCTAGGTTGATTGAGTTTTTAAGCAAGTACCCTTTTAGGGGTTTTTCTTAGTCATTGTTTCTGTCAGGGTCTGCTTGTGTTTGTCAGTGTGGTTTTCATGTTTTTATGTAGTATGCATGCAGCGACTACTGTAAATTACACAAGTGCAATAACATGGATTGATTAATTTTCCTCTTGTTCTCACGGAAACACAAGGAAGCTTACAAAAGTAAAAGGTGCCAGGTAGTCACGGTCTGCTTTATAGCAGCGTCTGTCACAAACACTGAAATATTATAGTTGCTTAACAATACTACACATTGTTCTAAAACCTCAAAATTGCACAACCCCCTGTTAATTAAGGCTTTCATCCCTTGTGAATCTCGAAACAGGTTAAACAAAACAGTTGTTCATAGGATCACTAATGGCTTCTGTTAATGCATATGCTAGTTTTCCTATGGTCAACAATTGAACAAAAACAAAATGGACAGGAAAAGTATAAAATACATCAAAAGTAAAAGGAAATTAAGACATAAAAAATCTCAGTCAAGGCTGAAATATTTCAATAACTAAACTAAAACCAAAGACACATTGAATATAGACCATGCAACAAAAAAAATGTTTTTCTCCAGGAGTTAATGTAATTTCACTTTCTAGTTAACATGGTTAGTCGCAAGCTTATTATTTGATGAATCCTTTAATTAATTCTACTCCAAGAATCCACGACTGCTTGCACCCAACAAACATATACTAAACTGTCATTTGATATTTCATTTGAATGGATAAAATGTGCAGTTAGAGTAAGTTAAGCCTCTTGCAACATTTCTGTTTTGCTTCACAGGTTAGTTTTCAAGAAGCCTTTCGTCACCTTATACATCAACACTTTTGCAGGTTCACCACCCAAGAGTGTTTCCCCAAGATTAATGATGTAAACACATTCACCCGATGAGGATTTCCTGCTATGCTAATCATCAGGTGTCCTGATTGACCCCCTTTCAACGCTTCACTTTTCTTACTAGTGCTCAGAATTATTTTGTTTTGCTTCTGGGCTCCTCAAAATACAGTTGCATTTTTCTCCTGAATACACCATTAAGGTTTTTATTTCTCATCATTTATACTTAACATTAGAAACATTGGAAATAATCAGGGGTCGGGTGAGGTAAGAATTCACTTGAAAAGAACACACAGACTATGCATACTTCTGTCTCTGTTGCCTTTCTTACACACACACATGCACAATGTCTCTGCAGATGACATCGGCGCTCACATGAATGTTGGAAGAACCTACAAGAACTTGAACAAGTCCAAAGAGGCAGAAGATGCCTACTTGGTTGCCAAATCCCTCATGCCACAGGTATCACGTACAGTCCACAGATGGTGTGTGTGTGTGTGTGTGTGTGTGTGTGTGTGTGTGTGTGTGTGTGTGTGTGTGTGTGTGTGTGTGTGTGTGTGTGTGTGTGTGTGTGTGTGTGTGTGTGTGTGTGTGTGTGTGTGTGTGTGTGTGTGTGTGTGTGTGTGTGTGTGTGTGTGTGTTGGTATTGTCAGTCTTGGCATCTAAGTTCAAACAGGTCAACTGGCAAATGCCACGGGACACCGCAATTTAATACCAAGAGCTGACTCCGGCTCTGAGTTAGTTTTGGCAAGCACCCACTGGAATTCAAATCGGACCTTTTAGGGAACTCCCACCTGGTTTTGTTCACCCATCAATCCATTAACTGACTTAGCAGCTGGAGCTGATTTTAACATCCAGATGTCACCACCTCAACCAAGACAGCATCTAGAATGAGAGTGGTGAGATATAGTGACAAGGGACATTGAGCCAAGATGGAGTCAGCACCCAAAACTTTACTATACCCTAGAAGCGACTCTCCTTTTGTTGCATTGTTACTCTCAAACAGGAACTTTTTGTAATACTGTGATCACACGTATTTTCATCAAACATGGTTCTTTTGAATTCTCTGTATTTGTCAGAGGTTATCACAGCAGTGAGACCAATGACTTCTCTCTTGATCACTCATCAGGTTATTCCTGGGAAGAAGTATGCAACACGTGTGGCCCCTAACCATCTGAACGTTTACATAAACCTGGCCAATCTGATCCGGGCCAACGAATCAAGGCTGGAGGAGGCCGATCAGCTCTATCGACAAGCAATCAGCATGAGACCAGACTTCAAACAGGCCTATATCAGCAGGCAGGATTTTTCCCTTTGTACTCATCAGATTTTAGTCTTCGAGCATGATTTATCAGGAAATCAGTTACTTCAATCAGAAATGGTTTTTTTTGTTTGTTTTGTCCTTATTGGGCCTTTTTTCTAAAATATGTTTTCAAACCTCTGGAGTCACACATCACTAAAATATCAGGCTCAAATATTAAAATATTAAACTTGATGAACTCTAGGGTTGGAGGTTCCATGTAACTATTGTAGTTGCACTATTCTATTACTATTTTCTGTAGACACTTTTTATTTTAGAAATTGGGGTAAAATCCCCCCAAAGTTCACTTGGTCAACAGGGATTAATTCCACCCATATCAATCCAAATGACCCTGAAAATAGCACACAAATTCTTTAATTCAAATTCAATTAAATGGTGTTAGTTAGATTTTACTGTAAATTATTCATATGTAAAAGATACAATTAACACATTTTGACTCCTGACTTCTATTTGTGTGCTTTTAATTTATTGATTTTTATTACATTTTTCTATTTGACTTAGAGGGGAGTTGTTGCTGAAGATGAACAAGCTCACAGAAGCCCGGGACGCCTACCTCCGAGCCCTGGATCTGGACCGCACCAATGCTGACTTGTGGTACAACCTGGCCATCGTCAACATTGAGATGAAGGACCCATCAGAAGCCCTGAAAAACTTCAACCACGCCCTCGAGCTCAACCCACGCCACAAGCTGGCACTCTTCAACTCAGCACTTCTCATGCAGGAGTCTGGTGAGTGAGGTCTGCCAGGTCTGCAATGAGGAAGTCAGTAGTCGAAATCTTATCCAGTCTCTCCGTAACACTAGAACACATTTGCTAATGGAAAGCACTACTTGGCATTTATTTTATTTTTATTTTTACACACTAACTGGTATGAACAAAGGAAATTACCTGTTATTACCTTTAGGGTGTAGCCAGGTTTTTAAGGTACTTTTTGTTGCAGTGAACCAGTCACGTAGGATCATGCTTCATCAACTCTGTGACAATAAAAACTTTTAATAAGCAGTACATTTGCAGCAGGTTTGACTGGAGATTTATGCACTTCATGTTAGCTTTTCCACCCACGTTTCTTTGCTTTTGTAAACCTCACCACAGTTGTTCATGCACTCTTTACTACCAGCACATTCCTGCAGAAGGTTAAGACAAGTGCAAACAAAAATAAAGGTATGTATTAATTGAGGTTATGAACATCACAGATGACATGTCTCTTAGTCGTTTGTTGAAAAAAAATGAACAAGAAAGAGGTGAGTCATTTAGGAAGCAATATTTCTTGTGAATAATTGAATTTCTTGTGCGTTGTGCGTAATTTCTTGTGCGTTCTTCTTTTCCTGGAAAAGCTCACTTCAGCGTGTCTCTGTGACCTTTGATATGAAGTCATCACAGGTGTAAAGGTTTTTCATTGCAGCTTGTTCCACCATTTAAAAAAAAGTGGTATCTGCACTTAAAATTATTCATACCTAGAATAAAAAAAACACATTCTAAATTATATTACGTAACATACAGTCAGCTCCATTCTAAAGATTTTATTATCTTTTCCTCCTCATTAAGTACTGTCATATGAGGTTGTGTGGACATAAAACACAGCATTGTGTGCGTAATTACATACTTTAAATGTGGATAAATAACACATGTAGAACGTCCCATGTGATAGTATTGTTTTTACATTTTCACTACATTCTCCAGTAGTTTTCTATAGTCCATTGTTTATTCTCAGCTATCTGAGATATAAAGATGACAAATCAGGTGACAAGTTCAACAAAGGGTCATCTGACAGTATACTGCAGCACTACAGAGTGTGACACTAACGGCCAGGACAAGCTCTTCCAGAAATGCTTTGCAGTAAGTCTGAGCTGGGTTCTGTTTCACCTGATTCTTCTCAGGTTTCATCGCAGCAGGTGGCCAAGTGGCACACAGGTTGGAAAGCTGAAAGGCTGACCTCCAGGCATTCTGCTAATCCTTTTCTTCTCATTCCTTACATTTCTACTTCCACTACTGTCCATCTTTAGCTTTCTCAGTTACATGAATTGCCTGTAGCAATTGTGGAGTCTGCCTTCTTTTGGGGAAGTTTAAATTTCTCAACCAAAGACAGAATCAGGTTCTGAACAAGAAGTGGGACTCTCTCTTAACTTCCACTCTAGGTTTTTAGCAGAGCTGGAAACCAGGAAAAGCAGCTGTGTGTGCTACGTGTGAATGCAGTATTTCCTCTTGTATCAAAACTCTACTTTGTAATTCCCCCTTCCCCTATGACTACCAGCTTTTTGTCATAAAATATGTCAGGTATTTTTCAAGTATGTAGGTTACCTGTTCCTGGAGTCTTTTTAGGCCCCAACTCTGACTTTAATTGAAACATTAATTCCTAACATTACCCATAACCCAGACTTTAAATATCTGCATACTATGTTGTCGAATGTCAGTAGTGGATAATGAAAATAAATGTCTCTTCTTTCTGTGGCAGGTGAGCCAAAGTTCTGGCCGGAGGCCAACCGTCGTTTCCTGACCTACGTGGAGGAGGAGCCTGAAGATGCCAACGGCTACTTCAACCTTGGCATGCTGGCCATGGACGCCAATGAAAATCCTGCAGCTGAGCGCTGGATGCGTAAAGCTATTGGTTTGCAGGCCGGCTTCCGCAGCGCCCTCTTTAACCTGGCATTGCTTTACTCTCAGTCCAAACGAGAGATAGATGCGCTGCCTGTGTTGGACGAGCTGCTGCGCCACCACCCAGAGCACATCAAGGGCCTAATCCTGAAGGGTGACATCCTCATGAACCACAAGAAGGACACACGTGGTGCTAAGGCCTGTTTTGAGCGCATTTTGCACATGGACCCCACCAATGTGCAAGGCAAGCACAACTTGTGCGTGGTCTACTTTGAGGAGCGCGACCTTCCGAGGGCCGAGCGCTGTCTGGAGGAAACACTGGCCCTGGCACCAAACGAGGAGTATGTACGCCGTCACTTGAGCATTGTACGCGGTAAAATGGCTGCCATGAGCGCAGCAGGGCAACCGCTTACTTCAGCAGAGGGAGCCACCATGTCGGCTAAGGAGGAAAAGCCGAAGAGAGTTAAGGAGGGGGCAGAGGAGATTGCTGAGGGTGAGGAGGAAGGGAGGGGTGCTGATGCTGTTGGAAAGGGGGCTGGGGATGAGAAGAATGTGCGGAAATCCTCTGCAGAAAGCCTCGGGGGTAAGGGCGTGGACCAATCAGAGTCTTTGGACAGCAGCCAGTCTGACAAGCAGACTAAGGGTAAGTCCACTAAAGAGATTAAAGATATAGAGGAAAAAAGGGCAGCTGCCTTGAAGAGACTAGAGGAGATTGAGCGCATATTAAGTGGTGATTGACATTGTTGTAATTTATAGCTGGACTACTTTTATAGAGTTCTTAAATGCTCCAGGATAAGACTGCATTCTCCCCCCCCTAGAAATGTGTATTCTTAATCAGTTGTCATTTATTTCCTTTGATTTATTCATGTGTCTGCATGGTCCTGCTGTTTTAACACTAATCATGTAAAGAAGGGAAATGTTGATCTGCACATGGAACTCATGTAACAATAAGCACAAAGCCAATTTGGGATAATCTATTTAAAGCGTATGGCAGATTGTAGATGCCAATGCGTGTGCTTCATCTGAATGTGATTTCACATATCGTAGATCTGCAGTAGTTATAAATATTTTTTCTCCATGCGTAGTCATTGTTTATCACTGGATTTCTTTTTCACTAAGATGTGACTCACTCCTGTGTTATTGTTTTTAAAAACAGAATGATTGTATCATGGACAATTAAAGGAAATGACGCGTTCCCCAGATTTCCTCAAGGCAGGATGATATCTGCAGACTTTGCGCCTCAGAATAACCCAAAGCAGGAGCAGAATAACCCTCAACTCTACATCAACACTAGGCTTATGTTCCCGTGGCAGCAACGTCTTCTAATCTCTATTGATCTCACTCAGCTCTTCCTGCCACTACATCATTGGCCTCTGCGCTTCACAGCTGCCTTCACCTCAAAATTTCATTGTGATCTCATCTGAAGACTATTATCTCACTCCCTTTGTCACATTACCCCAGCACATCTCCATGGCGGTCTCCCATCCTTTAGACACTACAGCCACATTAGAGATGAATGCTTTTTTGTTTTTTTTCCCCTGCCTTTCTCGGTAAACTACCCCATACACACCGCTTTGACCCGGGCAACACCCGTTTTATGTGACGGTCAACAATGACGCACACTCTTCGTCAGCGTCAGGCTTCATCATGTGTTCTTCATTTTCCAAAGTTCCTTCCACTTCACAGGGGGAACTGTCACAGCACATTTGCAGAAAACCGATCTCCTTCATGTTTCGCCACAGTGATTATCTTGTTTTAGCTTACTGGCACTAAAACATAATTGGGATGTTCCACATTTTCAAGTTTGTGTAGTAGCCCTTTGTATTCGCTTTCTTCAGCATTTATAGCTGTGATCACTGAATCAAAATTACTCTGCATCTCTCTGTACCTACCAGCATTTAAAACTGCTGCGGGCGAGTACACAAATTAAAACTTGAAAAGAAAATCCGAAATGCACAAATCTCCACTGCTCCTGTTTCCTCAGGCCTTTCTCTTCTATCACTGCACCACTATACAGCCCAGTGCTGCCGCTTGATTGGCTCGTTTCCAAGAGGTCTGATGATTTAAACAATTCTCTTGCCAAAAAATAAAAGGCCAATATTTGATCATCAAAAAACGCTTTTGTTTCCGCACAAATGGTTAGCCCTGATAGTCATGAAGTTAACATGAGTAGACCGGTGATTGTAGCTGGAAGGCAGGTCAGCAGTGTTCAATTCTTCACAATTTAACAAATTAAGTAGAACTGTCATTGATATTCTTCCTTGTGAGCTGATGTTAATGTCTTCACAGCTCCCATGATGTTCCTGTTTTCGCTTCATGGTGCAATAATTTGTTTCAGTACAATGACTGTCTGCTCAGTGCAATTCTTGATAGTGGAAAAAGACTAATTACTGTAAGTTAGGAGCACTGTGGTGGTACTAGGGAGCCTTGCTATGCATTGACCTTGTTTATCCCTGAAATTGTATGTACATACAGTATATTTACAGTGTACTCGTATCCAGTGTTATTTATTTTTATATGCACTGCAAATGCTGTAGGTGTTTTTGTTTTTGCCACTGACGGTATGCTTTAAATTCATGGTGCATTATTTTGTGTTTACTAATTTTTAATCTGTCTACTGTCACTAGTAAAACATGCCATAGATGTTTTTCACTTTCAAACAACAGAGACCATGTCAGTGTTAACATGTATGAAATATCCAATCAACTGTCTGCCCCAAAAAGTAGGTACAGCTTTGAATGAGAAAGCATCCAGTTTGCAATATTTTCCTCGTTTTCGCTCAGTGACAGATTTTTGTACGATTTAAGATTTTTTTTTTTTTTTATGCAATAGCCCTTGGTGGTGGGGGTCTAGGTTATTAAATAAAGTGAAATGAAAACTCATCACTTTTGTTCTGCTGTGTCTATTTGCAGTGTTCTGTTGCTCTGCATCATGTGCTGTAGTTCATTTCATACCACAGGCACATCATGCCGTCCCTCACAGGATGTCAAGCCCAGTTCCAATCCAATTTGAAATCCCAAATTGAGTTCCAAATTGAAATCCAATGTTCCAAAAGTATGCTGTTGTTAGTCTCTCTGACCAATTAAATTTTCGATGTAATGTCATTTATAAATATACTGCATCTAATGCAACGATCTGTCCCATGACATGATTTGACTACTTGCAATGATGCAGTGTTTCTGAGGAAATGTATAATAAATTAAAGGTTTTTTGTTTGTAACAATGCGTTTACTATTCTCTAATTACAGCATTGGATAAAGCTGAAGATGTAGGAATAAAGTACTGCTTTAGTTTTCAAAGGTCAGTTTTCCATGTACCTCAAGTGGTATGCAGGTGATTTGATTTGGGAGATCTGTCTGAGATTTCTGCTTCCACTCCACTTAAACTGAACATGTACAGAATTGAGTTGCTCTTAACAGTGAAAAATTACATTAAAAAAGCATTTAACCGCAGCATCTGTTTCAAGAATCAGAATCCATCACCGTGACGATTCACAGAACACACGATGAAAGTAGGGTAGGGTCTATTCTTTCAGTAGAAAGTAATTGTGAAAGTTGTCCACAGTGACTGATTATCCAAGGTAGAAGAACACAGTTCCTGGAAAGACTTATTTTTATTTAATTTTTGTAATACAAATGAAATGTCATTCATCTCAATTGTATTGGGATGGATGCAGAAACCGGGTATTTCACATGGACAGATAAAACAATCTGCACGGCTAGAAGAACTGAGCCTTTAAGTATCTACCATAGAAGGATCAGGCACACAAATGAACAAGAAATACAGACGCAGATGTACTGCATCTTCTAAAAACGTGAATCAGTGAATCAAGTCACACCCTTTTTTGCTGTCCCCCATGTATCGGATCGGTCTGCAGTATTGAGTGGCTGGTGACGGGGTATCTCCTCTGTTGGGACAAAGAGGAAACATGTAGCAGCCACTATGAACACAGGGTTTGGGAGTCAATGTCTAACAAAATTCCAATGCATAAAAACTCTGGTAATTACTTCTGAGCAGTGTGGGAGACGTGTCGAAGCATCACAGGAAATCAAAGGGAGAACTCGTCAACACCATGAGCCAGGCCAGAACCTGATTTGTCTGCTTGACTGGAGCAGAGTGTAACTGTCAAGCTGTCAGTCACAATGTGCCTTTCATGCAGCGTGATATGCTATTGGCCGGAACACTTTGCTTAAGGGCTTTTGCTGTCACACATACCCGCTGTGCTGTTATCATCTGTTGCTTTCTTGCCAGGAGACGGTATGTGTAATGTTGCATGCACTTTAAGACAAATTACATTCTGGTCAGGCTCTGCTCCAGTTATTCTTCCTTTCTTAAAAAAGAAAAAACCTTGAGAAATCATTAGTTTATACAGACATGGAGACCATAAATCACCATAAAGTGCTGGAAAAATTTGTACATTTATACGGTTTCCTTGATGTTAAAGGTTTGTGGCATTCAAATATAGCTGTTAGGAGTCACATTTGATGGCACTGAAATATTAACACTATTATGCATGCTCCTATGCATCTGTCCTGCGTGCCACTAACAGCAGGCTGGACTCTCATATCTGCTTCAAGGTTGTCAGATATTTAGAATTTTCTGCCATTTTACTGTGGAAAAAATGAGGGCTGCAACTAAGGACTATTTTCATTATTGATGATTTTGTTGACTAATCATTTAGTCTATATATTGTCAGACAAAAAACCTGTTAAAATGTCTGACCAACAACCAATATTCAATTAACTATTTTAAAAAACAGAGAAGCAGCAAATGCTGATATTTGAGAAACGTATTTATTATATATAGTCAGTGGTGTGGTCAGAGGTATGCTTGGTTGCATGTGTAACCACACCAAACACATATGTCCCAGTGTCCTGGAGTACGCCTCTTTAAGTTAAACCCCTGGTGGTCAGCAATATGATTTTCGGCAAGGATTTTATGTTACTTTACTCTTTAAGGTACTACTCAACCATTTGGTAGACCACACTTTAAGTCACTATATTTCATTGAAAAATGCATCAAGCTTAACGAAAACCTGAATGAGCCATCTCTACCGTTTGGCGTAGTTGTGCAATGCTAAAAAAATCCACTAGATGGCACTGTGTCTGTGAGCAGTGTGCCTTTTCAGTGTTCCTTCAAACAGAAGTGACATAGCGAAAATTCACCCGTCCTTTGATGACGCATATCAGCGGGACTTTCAAAGGACTATTTTGTTGACATTTTATCATTTCAGAGGAGTTGTTAAACAGAATTATGTAACTTAATTCAACAAAAATAAGTCTTATAATTGTCGGGTAGAGAAGCTAGCTAATGTTGGTAAAATGAGCTATTTACAATGAACAAAAGGGTTAGTGTTGTTCAAATTATTAATTTAATGTTATTCAATTACATATTTAAAGAAAAATATTTTATCAATATTTCTTTTTTTTTTTTACCATTTCTGTGCTGTATATGGTAAATATCAAGAATAAATTTGAAGAATTAATACCAATTCTGGTGTAACTATTAATTTCATAATTTAAAATTGACTATGTTTGTGTATTACCATATGACTAGCATTGTAAGAGTACATGGTTTGTAATACAAATGGTTTTAGACATGATAGATGGACGCCAAATCAGTGGTGTGCACGGGGGGGCCCAATTGTTGAAAAACGTGTGCTAAAGTGCCCTCTTGGGAGCCAAAACGCATGCTAAACTGCCCTCAAGTGTCCTCCACTTCAATCTAACAATCGGGGGCAATGCAACCTCTGTCCAAAGGGAGTGTCGAGATGGAAATGACAGAAATGTGATGTATTCCTGTGTATGAATGCAAAGCAGGAATACTTTGCAGCATACCATCAGAAATGAGTGGCCAAAGGCAAAATAAGTGCTGTTGCACCGCTGCAGTTGCATCCCTGACCAAAATCATTAGTGCAGTTGCACAACAGGTCAAAACCCATTTGTGCTGTTGCACGACCACCCAAAAATATTTGTGAGTGAGTAATATTGGTCAAGAAATTGCACTTAAAGTGACTTGTTCTCAATGTTGTTCTTTTATTATGAACAGACATCTCAACCGTTTGGTAGAGGACTGTATCTGAAATACTGTAGGGTCTAATTTAAAAAAAAACCTATTGATTGTTGTTGTTATAATAATTGAATAAAAAATGCAAAGAAATAATTTTTCCTTTGCTTTTTTCTTGGTGCGTACCTTAAAGGGTTAATTAATCCATTATGTGTCATATTTAAAATATGCAAATATCCAAATACCAATTATTTATTTTAGACTGAAAATAGACAGCATTCTCTATCTTGTGTTTTAAAATGTACTGTATTTTCAGTCTTCCAAAAACAAACAAACAGGTCTGATGACAAAACCACACACACACACATAGGCTACGTGCACAGTGTCTGTGTAAGCATGCTGGTAAAACAGACGCTGAATAAATGACTGACTCTAGTTATAGGTTCTGACCATCTGCTTTTGTCTTTTTGTCTTTTTAAATTTGAGAAATGTAAGCCTGCAGTATGTAGTGCTGTTGAGACACACGCTGCTGAAGGGGTCTGTCGATCAATCAACAACCAAAGCATTCTCTCAGAAGAAAACGCTCCAGGCAATTACTCTTACCCTAGAGTTTGAACAACTAATGGTCCAATTTCAGCTTAATGCTTATACTTTTCTTTTTCTAAATTGTTTCTAAAAGGGCTTGAAGACTGAGTTGGATGAATCTTTAGACTCTCCCTTTCTCTGAGTAAATAATTTCTGTGTGCCCTTGATGAAGAACACAACGCAGCCTGAGATTAAATCAGTGGTTGCGCCTTGCAGCTCTCACACATGAAAGTGTCAGCAGATGAGGCATCATTTTCTGAGAAACAATAAATTTGCATAGTTAATCTATTTTGTATTAACTACGGAGAAATATTTATCTAAGATGTTATCTGCTATAGATGGTTGTATGGCTTTTAAGTACATGCCTGTCTAATGATGAGCCTTGAGCTATTTAAAAAAACACCAACACTTACTGGCGTCTTTTCAAAGTCACTGTCTCTGCTTCGCCTCAAAATAAGAGACTTAATTTAGAAAAAATGTGCAGGAGTAACAACACTGGACAAAATTACACTTTGCCGTCTATCTATTTTTGCGTCTTCTTGCAACTTATTTGAGCAGTCACATTTTGTTCATCACTGCTCTGTAACAGTGGGTACTGGACCAAATCAAGCACTGCTTCAGTATAAATATGTTATGCCAAGCAATTTAAGTAAGTAATGTCTTTATCAAATTAGAATTGTTAAGAAATTAGGGGATTTTTTTTTTTTTTAGAATTTTTTTGAAAAGAAGAAAGTTTTCCTAGAATTTATTACTGTAAGCTCTCTGTTTACCTGTCTGAACAACAAAGACCCAACTGATAAAGAATGCAGTCAAACAGCAGACCAGAACAAATGAGAGAGATCACGCGACTTGCCTTTTATACCTTTTGAACTGGCTTTCAGTTGATTCTTGAAAAGACTTCTTCTACAGATTACTTTCAAGGTATGCTCTACTAGAACTGGCTGCAGCCAGTTCATCCCAAAGGTGTTGGATGGGGTTGAGGTCAGGGTTCTGCGTAGGCCAGTCAGGTTTTACCACACCAGACTGGGTTAGTGCACAGAAGCGTTTTCATGTTGAAGGGCCTTCCCAAAACAGTTGGCACACAGTTTGAAAGAACATTATAGTCTAAAACATCATTGTATCCTATGCTGTGGCATTAAGATTTGCCTTATTTGGAAGTAAGCGACATAGAACATAGAAAAACGGCGACGAATGTGCACAGAATGCATCGTTATACTTTTAGTACTAAGATTAAAGATGATTGTGCATTTGCATCATGTCCTTCAAACCAAAGAACAGGGTTGTTTTCCAG